GATATTAGGATAAAATTTTATTTTTATCATAATAATAATTTATTTTCTGAAAATGTCATACTTATTTTTTTAAAAAAAACTTGTTGTGAAATTAATGTTTAAATATTTAAATATAATGATATGTGGTTCACCTAGAAATTATGGAAAATTAAATAATTTTTGAGATTGATTCCTTTTGACGGAAAGATTAACTAAAATAATAACGATTTTTTCTTAACGGTTTTGAACACAGTCAATTATCGATCCAAAAAGAAAGAACACACAGTTAATTATGTTGGCACTACATAAAAAACAAACTTGTGATTACCGATGGAATTATGTTGAGATGATGATGTTGAATTGAATCTGACAGAGTAGGGTTTGTTGAAGGCTCATCTCTGCCAGTAGAGCCACTCACATGAACTCCAAGAGATTGTAAGTCGGTAGGGGGTAATAATGATGGGACCCCTTCATTATCCATTCCAAACAAAATTTCTTCAGTAGAATCTTCAACTGCCTCCTGAAATTAAAATTAATTATTATAAATTAAATATGTTAACATGTGGTTGACCAAATAATGAAGAAAAGAATATACAACAACAACAAGCCTGGTCTCATTAAGTGAAATCGGCTATACGAATCACAAGACGCTATCGTGGTTCAATAAAATAAAAAAGTGTATGGAATTATTTCGTGCAAAAATCACAATAAACAAAATATTATATATGCAGCAACAACAATAAACCTGGTTGATCTCATCAGGCAGAGTCAGCTATATAGATTTAATGACATTATTGATTTATTTTGACATAAAATTTTAACCAAAATAGCATGAAAATAAGTCTATCTCAAAGATGGCAAGATAAATAATAATTTAGTTACCAGTGTAGCATGTTGATGTTGAAACGAATGAGATGTGGGGTTTGTTGTGGGCTGAGCTTCAGCGCCATTAAAGACACTTAGATGAAGATCCGCAGATTGAAAAACACTAAAATCAATTAAATCAGTAAAATCATCCATTATTGGTGATGTTGATGCTGCTGGGACACCTTCATCCATAGAACGCAAAACTTCTCTCCTGGAATCTTCAACCTCCTCCTAAAATGAAAATAAATTGTTATATATTAGCACTTCATCAAGAATTTATTTGGATCTTCAACTGGGTCCTGAAATAATATGTTAGCATGTGGTTGACCAGATAATGAAGAAACTAATATACAACAACAACAAGCATGATCTCATTGAGTGAAGTCGGCTATACAGATCGCAAAACACACTATTGTGGTTTAATAAAATAAAAAAGCATATGGAATTATTTCGTGCAAAAATCACAATGAACAAAATATTATATATGCAAACACAATAATAAACCTAGTTGATGTCATCACTTAGAGTCGACTATATAGATTTAAGACGTCATTGATTTATTTTGACATAAAGTTTTAACCAAAATAGTATGAAAATAAGTCTATCTCAAAGATGGCAAGATCAATAATAATTAATTACCGGAGTGGCATGTTGATGTTGAGACGAATGAGATGTAGGGTTTGTTGTGGGCTGAGCTTCATCGCCATTAAAGACACTCAGATGAAGATCCGCAGACTGAAAATCACTAAAATCAATTAAATCAATCAGATCATCCATTATTGGTGATGTTGATGCTGCTGGCACACGATCATCCATAGAAGGCAAAACTTCTCTCTTGGAATCTTCAACTTCCTCCTAAAGTGAAAATAAATTGTTATATATTAGCACTTCACCGAGAATTTATAAATATATATATGTAAATATACAACCCACCCCAACGGCCACGCGTTTTAGTAAAATTTTTCTTAGAATAAATATGATAGATATATGACTTGCTGACAAAGAAAAAAAAATACATGACTTAATTTTTTTGGTTGAAAATCTTTTATTTCTCCTCATGATTATTCAGAATTTATATTATGTTGTTATAAAAAATAGAGAATTTATATTATCTTTATATAACTTTTTAATGCGTTGAAAATTGAAACAATCAGATTATTGTATTAAACTAGAAAACATCAATAATATATAATTAAATTAGATTAGAGATTAATTTTATAAAAGAATACAGTTTTATCGATCTTTTTAAAGATTGCAAGAATTAATTACGTTGACCGGCGGAGACTTGCGACGTTGACTTGAATCCGATGATGCAGAACTTGCCGAACAGTCACTTGGATAATCTTTGAGTCCTAGAGATTCAAAATCAAAGCTTGGCGAAGGTGGCAATTCATCTTTCGTCATAAAGAAAGTTTCAATGTAACGTCCAATTGGTTCCTGAAATATTCAAAATATATATATATATATATATATATATTAAACCCGTGTGTACACAAACATATTAACGTCAAACTGAAATTCAGAATTTTATCCAAATATGACGGATGGCATTACTACAGAAACAGCTAGCCGTTGACTTCAAAAAGATATATTAATATTTCATTTATAATATTGCCATGTAACTATATTACAAGAAGAATTACAAAATGAATATAAACTAAGAGGTATATGTACTTACGTCATCTAAAATATTGCTGGAGGGATTTTCAGAACTCATTGTGGATCGTGTGCGCATGTGATATTGCTCTCTGGTTCGTATCAGCTGGGTTTTGATCAAAACGATGGATGATAGGGTTTGGTCAAAAAAACACAAAAGGATGTGTGAAGAAATATATAAATAAGTTCGATTTTGGTCAAAATGAGGGATGATATTTAGGGTTTGGGTTGGAAAAAGGAGAGAGGATAATTTAATGATAGAAGAGAGCTTTATTGTTGAGAAGACTGTTATATCAAATCTGATATACCCGGGAAAGTGAATCTGATACACTGTGTATTAAGTGGACCATAATTCAAATGAAATAATCCTTTAGTCTTTATCTAAGACTTGCTTAACTAACTTAATTAAATTAAAAAAATTAAATAAGTTAGTTAATCATAAGTAATATGACATCATTTTTCTAGAATGCACTTATTATATTTTTGGGATTTACACGCAAAGTTTACATAAATTTCAATTGTTTAACATAGTAATGGGATATTGCGCATTCTTCTCATTAATAATAATAATAATAATAATAATAATAATAATAATAATAATAATAATAATAATAGTCCATCTTTTCAAAATTGAATCACGTCTCAAAATCAATTGACATTAATTATGGAATTTTATTTTAAATACTTGTTAATTTTTCTCTAATATGCAAAAAATGTAAGAGAAAACATAAAATCAATAATAAATCAGATTATTCACATGATCAAAATATTGTAATTTATTATTATTGGATGACTATTTTTTAATATACACAAGTTTCAACTTGAGAGAATATGTGATGTTCAAAACATCAAACTCCTTCGGTTCTTAATATAAGACATAATTAACTAATTTGATTAGATTAAAGAAGTTAGGGAAGTTAGTTAATTATAACATGCTTTTTCTAAAACACCATAATCATCTTCCTTAATATCCTCCCTTTCTCTTTTACTTGATTATGGTTGAAAGAGTATGGATAGGACTAATTTAGAAAAAATTGATAAATATGAGAAATATGTCTTATATTTAGGATCAAAATTAACTTAACAATTATGTTCTATATTAAGGACTGGAGAATTAATATATCATTACATTAAAAGATGCGCAAGTGATTTTGTTTCATAAGACTGAATTAAAATGAGATGTAGAATTCGTTCCTTGGTTTCAATTATGCGAATGGATTAGAATATTTTGCATTCTTTTCACTATAGAATATTATTTATTTAATTTTTTTGGTGATAGATAATTATTTATTTATTTGACAAAAAGAATAATAACCCCGATCAAGATCAGATTTTATTTAAAACAATTATTATTTTCTATATTCAATAAAATATTTTTCCAACACGTACAAATAAAATAAATATTTCATTATGGTTTGCATTCATAGTAGTATTTTTTTCTCTCTCCCTGTTTTTATCAATTATCATTTTATTTTATGTTTAGCTGAATTATCATTTCCATACTGATTTTTCTTTTGATCATTAGCTTCTAGTTAAAATGAATTTATCAACGAGGGGCCGCAGTGCGTATGTCAATTGTTGGATAGATTTTGTTTGTGTGTGTGTGTGGGTGTGTGTTTGGGTCTATAAAAGGATGGATGGCAACATTTGTTGACCATTTTCTCGAACAAGATATTAATTAACACTGCGATAACTCCCATCTGATCCAAGTGATCGATAACTCCCATCAAATTTCAAATACTCATTGTTTTTAAAATATAAATGATTAAATAATCACATAATTTGTTCATTTTTTAAAGCCTAAATATATATAAACCCAATAATTTCTTTGTCTCAGTAATTTTAAATTTACTTCTTTGACTGTCGTCTTATCAAAACTTCCTAGCATAATATCATAAATATATTCTTCCAATTCAGTCATTTTGAAAAGGAAAATAGTGAGATTAAAATATTTTCATTCACTTTGCCGAATCTAATCACACAAAGTCATCTACATTATTTTTTAATGTCAATTTTTAATTAAATATTAATATTTTAAAAAGAGAATAATGACCTTATGTGATTGAAAAATTCTCATGATAGATATAAAAAAACCTAATGTAAGTACTGTCCATCAGAAAATTCTCCTCTGGGATGTGATGGAAATGATTTCCTTACTTTTTGAGTCCTTTCAACCTCCTCCTTAGACAGACCTGATGCATAAAATTACTATACGTTTGATCCCAATAACTCCTATCCAATTTCAGTAACTCAAATGGTTCAAAAATAAAAATGTTTAAACAATAACATATTCGTTCATTTTCAAAGCCTTAAATATATAATTAAAAGATTATGCATCACATAAATCCAATACCTTCTTTATGACTCTATAAATAAATTGCTTTGGCCAAAAATAACCCTAAATAAATTAAATATCCTGGAAAAAAACTCAACATGCGAGCTGATGTGCAACGCCTATGAAATATGAATGATCATGCGGCAACTTGAAAGCTGAGATATGCAAGGATACAAGCAGAACCCACTATTCTATATACCATCAAACAATTATTACATTCTCAATGTTGACTGAAATTTTTACAAGGCAACCAACCAGGCATATCCATTCCAAAAATCATCAATCCAGCAACAAAGAAGTAAAACCGATGCGTCATTTTACTCACTGCTGAATTCACCAAAACCAACTTGATTGATTAAAATACTTTACACCTCCAGGAAAAAGAAAAAGAAAGCAGTGTTCCATTATTATAACAAGCCTGTGCTTCCAAATGGATTGTTATTTTGTGGGTGTGAAACAGGATTCACAGGAAACGCCCTATAACCCGCATCACCAAAGGGATTGGCTGGATTCATCAACACATGTTGCTGCTGAGGCTGATAAGGCGCGTAAGGACCAAATGGATTTGCTTGTGGCTGAGCCATGGCTGCCATTTGGACCGCGGGAGGTGGAGGGATGTTGCTTGATGGGGCAAATGGATCTTGCACTTCAAATGGATTCAGGGCAGGTGTTCCATACACTGCCTGCTGATTTGCAGATCTATATGCCATTTCGTCGTATAAGCTGTTAAGAGTGAGCGTGTCCAATCCACCAGCCTAACATTCATGGACAGCCAAAAGTAGTAAAACTTCTGAACCTAGGGAATGTATAATGGTTGCCAAAAATCCAACAAATTCTCATATTTATCAGTAAAATAGTATAATCTATTGATATAACAACCTTTCTTTACCAAAGACAAAAGACGGCAATGTGACACTGTCATATGGATCTAAATAAGTTAGGCCACACTGATGAATAATGCAAAACGTGCACTCCTAATATATGTATGCGAGGAAAATGCAAGCCTGTCAAAAATAGTATGCTCATATAGCAAGAGAGAATACAGACCTCAAGTCTGTTCTCTTAAGAAGAAACACTGACAATCACAATAATAACCATGTCCGAATGCATAATACATTCTGACTTCGACACATTATTTCATACTACTGAAACGACATCATTTTGACCCCTTCCTACAACCACCACAAGACCACATGCTCATACAAATTGAATAATTTCTCAAATTGTAATTTTCATTGATACAATTATAAAATAATGACAAGGAGCTATGATGTGAAGTTGATTATCCACGCTAATTTATTTTACCAAAAAAAGGATAACATGGTCATAAAATTGTATGCTTGAGATATTGAGAATCATAATGTAAATCAATTTCACGAAATGGTCGAGACATACAAACTTTTTTCCCCCTTTTACTTACTGCAATTTATAAGCAGAATCTGAATTATTTCAGCTTATATGTAAACCAAGTAATCCTACTTAAAATTTAGACCGATGTCCTACGCAGGACACATGAAAGACTTACCAATTGCCTCTCGTTGACTGAAGAAATATTGTTACTTGGATTGGTGACAAGGGCAAGCTCCCACCCGGTTGGATCAAAATCCTTCGTTTGAGTGGCACCCGAGTCAAAAGTTGATGCAGTTCCTATACGCACAAAAGGCATCCATTTCCTATTGAACAAGCTATAAACAAGACCACAAAGCAGAATTTTGAGAAAACAAAAGGCCAAAATATTACCAGCTTCAGTGGGAACTATAGCTAGGGCTAGTGCATTTCTTTCCTCTATTGATGAAGCATCAGGCGTTGCATCATTCAACCCCTGCCACCATGACATAAATGAGCCAAACTCTACAATTCATAACCAGATATAACCAAACTCTGGACAAAAAGCTTACCAGCAAATCTCCAGTTTCAAAATTGTTTTGAGGCGGAGGAGGAGGAGGTGGTGGTGCAGGTTCAGAAACTGGGACAACAGCATTATCAACTGGCACTGATGGCTCCTGTTCTTCAACAGGTAATTCATTGTCTTCTACAGCAGAAGCTTCTTCTGGTCTGTATGTCAACTGAAGCTGTTGATGAAGAACAAGATATCAGTTGTTACCCAAAAAAAAAAAAAAATTTACACTTTTCAAGCAATGTTTTCAGGAAAACTATGCACTGATGGCAACAATATATGCGTATATGATAATTACATTCCTTAAAATTAATAAATTATGCACTAACCAATGGTTCATTTGGAACTGTAACCACTCGTGGTGCCTCTCTAATATACTCTTCCATGGTTGCAAGAAAGGATTGTGGAGGCTGCAAAAGGCCAGTGTTGCATTGGGAATCATATTAAGGCTAAACGGAGAGACCACGTTAAATCAAACATGAAATCACTGCAGATACAAAGAAGTACCTCTCTTAAGACAGGAAACTGAAAATTTCTAGCAAGTTCTAATCCTTTGCAGACTTCATAGAAATCCGAGAGACTGGAAGCCTACAACCACTTAGGGCTTATAACATAAGGATCTTGAAGCTAAACTGCAAAAGCCTTGATGGCCACTTCAGAAAATACAGTTGCAAAGCATTTGATAGAAATTACGTGTAAACTATTACCTGCTGACCAGCACGTTTGTAGACATCAAAGGCTGTGATGGCCTCATGTCTGGGCATCTCAAAAAACTACAAAGAAATAAAGAAGTTATTACTTAAAAATATAAATCACACTTTTAGTGAAAATATGATACTCAACACATGAATAAGCCGATTTACCTTATCAATAAGATTGATAATTCCATCATTAATAGCACAATAAATCTTAAAGCTCTCTTTCAATACCTGTATTTAAGGACCAGGTCAATATGAAATAATACGACATTGTTATAAACTATATATCCAAATTTCATCTAACAAAATTATGAATTATACACCACAAATAACAACTATAAATATCACCAGAAGAAAGAAATAAGAAAAGACGTTTATGACACCTCATTAGCCAAGAAGGAAATCAATAGTGTCAATTCCTAATAAATTCCGTAAAGTAAATTTCCAATTTCTAACTAGGTCAAAACAATCTGTCCACACAAAGGATACCCCTCCCTATGACAGGGATCAGATGCAGATAAACAAAACTTTTATCACCATTGAAACTTTGGTCCAACATGAATGACATTCCCATTCCTACCCTTCATGGAAAAGACATCAGTAACTGGAAGTAATTGAGTAAAGGTTTGACCCTTGTTCCTTCCAAAGGTTGGCTTCCAAAGTTAATATTCAGATTTCATTGTTGTAATCACCAAAAGAGGGGAAAAAGTTCAAGATTTAAAAAATAAAGAATTCAGAGGATAAGCTAACAATCCCCGTACATAAATTCCCCAGTCTTGTGCTATACCAACAAATGGCTAACGCCAAAATATATTCATCAAAACATCCCAAACAATTCTAAACAAACTACCGTGTAAATTCTGAACTGAGGAGGATTTTTAGATAAACAGAGCTAAAGACATACCAGAGCCAACGCATACTGTATCACATAATTGCTAACAGCAGCTCCTTCTGGCTGAAAAGTATTAGCACACAATCAGTTGGTACTATTGACAAGATAATACAAAACAAAAGAGCAATAAGCTTCCAGAGGAAATTGAGTTGAATCAATTCTAACCAAACTGATATGTAGAAATACAGAGGTCAAAATAGAAACACAAATATAGAAAAATGAAGTTAATAATTCGACTATCAACATCCACATGTCCAGCAGCATTACCTGGCAACCAATAAGTCGATAGAGAAGCTGCTGCAGAGCAGGCAACTGTACCAATAGCTCCTCACTTTCCAAATCTCTGGTCCTACTGTAACCCTGCTAAAACTTATCAGAAAAAAATTAGTTAATACACACAAAGCTATATATTTTTTAATGAAAAATGTGCTTTGTTAATAGCAATTCCAATAAATCACACCAATCGTCATGAAGTTCATAAAAATGTCAAGCAGCAACATAAGCACATCAATAGGAACTACAGACAGTTGAAAAAGGAAAAAGAAAAAAAAATGCTGCTTATATGTTAGACCTAATCTTTTCTGGAGAAATTATTTGGTATACCTAGTGAGGTGCATGCATAAACGGCATTACCATAAATAGAAATAAACTCATCACTTATAATAACACTTGAGGCACATTTAGTAACACAATGCAAAGGCGGAGTGAATATATATCATTAAAAAGAGATGCCAACATGTGATGCAATGTTTTGTCTTTGTTATCATTGCTCAACAACGATATTACGACTACTACTACCCTCAATAGTACTTTCTTTTGAACTATACTTGTTTTCAAGATCAGAGCTATCAACCACTCAGCCATATCTCCAAAAGATGACTTCTTCTTCACATCACCTCTCTCTTTCCCTTTCAATCATCCAACCAAGTATACGCTGAACAAGGTTTCAATATTGCTTAAAAAATTTGACAGAACATTAAGTCCGGCTAGTAGGAAACAATGCAATTCTAAGTATAAAGTGTAAAGAGTATCTGATATTGAAACTCTGTCTGATACAGGTCTGACAAGCTGAAAAACAAGCAAGATAATGCACCAGGGAGAACATAATTATAGGTAAGAAGTCCATGGAAAAAAATGTTCACATTTTCTGTTAGCCTTCTTTTTTCATATATCCCTTCAGTTCTTATCAGGCATTATCCCAGGTGCTACAAACTTAAGCTTTGGTTTGTTACCAGGAAAGAATATAACTACTTCACGAGGTTACCTTTTCCTGTCCTTCGGCAGGCTTGGGTAGACGCTCTGCTTCAATATCATACTTCAGAACCCGGAAACATTCAAGCCTTTCTTCCAAAAATAATGCATAAGTACGAACCCAAGCAGAGCAATCCCAAGCTGCAAGTAATTCAAATCATACATTAAATCAAATAGCAAACTCAATACAAAAATATAGGAACAATACCATCAATTAAATAAGTAATAAATAATAGCAGATTATAAAGTCATAAAATAAACCTATTGGGCTAGAATCATCCTTGAAATTAGAAAGTTGGAGAATTCGTCCTCTTAGTGAGAAATTCAGAAGTTCTTCCCTAAAAGTAGGATCACCCTCCCTCAATAACCTATGGATGACTATCAAAGTTTTCAACGCCACCTATGAACAAGAAAAGTGAAAGTCAAAAGCATATCCAACCATTAAAACATTATCTGCAAGATAAGGACAAAATATAAGCAGTCAATTAATTCTCCAAGATGGATTATTCTATTTCCACACCTCCAAAATCAAGGTCAATTTTTCTCCAACAAGGGAGAGAATAATGGAGAGCAGGAAGTGAATATTGAGAAAAATATCATTATAAGTAAATTAGGGAATAAAGATAAATACATGAACATTCAAATATTTAATCGATTTTACTTTGAATTTAATTATCCTTTTGTTAATCTTCTCTTTATTTTTAATTAATTTATATTACTAATAGAAATATCTTGTATTCTATATAATGTCCTAATTAATCAGAATGAGGTGAGCCTTTTGATTTGTTAGTAATAAAGTTATCTTGGCTTGTTAGCCATATCCCATATCTTCCTATTCATGTTTCTCTCTCCGTCTCCCCTTTCATTCTTCATCTTCCCCATTCTTGTCTCTGCCCCCTCCCTCTTTCCAAGTTATTTTTATTAGTTGCTTCATCGTTGCTGCTAATAAATGGTCATCATCCGGATATACAACAGTGAGGCCTCATTTGACGTTAAAAATTCAAAATTTCTTTCCGCATACAATAAAAAGAAACAGCATTGGTCACTGTCATCATCTGAGAACAGATTCTATTTTAGATCTAGGATGTCCATATTTGACTTGGAAGGTGTAGGTGTTTTTTTTTTTTTTTTTTGGCTTGAAAATTCAATATTTTTCTTCAAAAAGGACAGAATATAAAGTCTCTAACTAGGAACTTCAACAAATGGTGCGGCAATTAAAAAACATATATCATATCTAAACAGTCCAAGTCTGCCGCAAAACATTAGTGCATTGCTTCTCTTTTACTGCACTATAATATTTTGCAGCAGCAATGAATTTCCATCTGCATCCTCAGTCAAAAATGCCAAGCTGGTATATGAATTGAGGGGCAAGAAGGATCATAGTAGCGACTAAGAAATACTCCTCAGATAAAATTTCTTCTTCATTCCCAGAAGAAATGGATAATTGCTGAATGACCTTAGTCACTCTTCAAAAAAGACAAGGGGGAGGATGTCTAGATGGGAAGACAGGGATAACAAGTAAATAAAGAGGGAAGAGAACGAGGAAGGGAGGGCAAGAGATAAAGAACCATATTACCTAAAGCAAACATTGCTGACCAGTTTCTCTGCATAAAAGAGAGATTTCATCAAAACATTCATGTGGAAAGCCCCAATTAAAGGACACCACCCAGGCCTATTAGGCTATGACACATTCAAGGCCACAGACACACTGTCAGAGAAATAAGCATTCATCTCCAACCAAAAAAAAAAAAAAAAGAGGACTTTAAGCGGGGGGAAAAAAAATCTTTTCAAATTATGTGGAACTAAGTCTTCTTGGCTCCATGCTGCCAAGAAAACAAATAATGTTTTAAAAGGCATATCCTGATGGACCCCAAGGGAATGAAAACCCATAATGAATTCTTTTCCCATATTTCTCTCTCTGTTAGAGAGAAAATTTTTCCCTTATAAATATTAAGAAAGGAAACCTCCTCAGAAAATAGCAAAGGGGGGGAAAGAAAATGTGGTCTGGCTCTAAATTGTATAAGCTGTCATATTTTATCCTATTCCGCTTCTGTAAAATAACATGTGGTCCCTTTACGGTGCTCAGCCAAGACTGCTTGAAGAGGGGTTACCATTAAGTTTGATAGAAATTGGAAACCCTCGTCAAACTATTTTCCTTGTATTGAAACATAGAATGCTGAAGAGAAAAACAAATAGCCAACTCTTCATTTGTAAGTCAAGAAGTATTAGATTCACATTCATTTAGCAACTCTACACTCATGCGTATAACCAGCAACATGGTTGGATTGATACTGGGTAACTACTTATTTATGTAATATCGGTGGATACATATTTGGATTGTCTGCATTTAGAAGGAAAATACCCAATTTGCAGAAAGATAGGTAGATGTAAATATAAAAAGAATGAATGAAAAGAAACGCATCTGACATACAACCCAATGCTCCTTTGCATCACATTCTCTTCTTTCACAAGGTGGAGTTTTAAAGGACCAGGACCAGTGGGGTAAAGAAGAATTCTTGTCAAGAACATGTATATAAGCAGATAATTAAATCTTCAAACTAAATCATAATTCTATGATATAGCCATAAAAATGAATAACAATAATAGATCCGGTAACACATGTTAATACCGTCCAGTTTCGTGTCTTGGCCAGTCGGCGAGAAAGCGCATGAATGCAGTAAGCAACATCGGCTCGGGGTCGAATAGCAGTTGTCGCAAAAAGAATTTCTACAAAAAGGAAAAACCACACGAATTTCTCATTCTTCACCAGTACAAGCAAAAATCCCAGAATTTCAAGTTGGATCTACGAATATAAATCACTCACTTCTAAGATGTCTCTCTTTTGGGGGACACTCGACGTGGTTCGTAGCTTTGACTATGGCCACATCCAAATCCTAACAATAGGAACCAATTAAACCATAGCCGAAAACAAAGAAAGACTGAAGATATGGAATCAAATCAATGGAAACTTTCTTGGGACACAATCTATATTTGCAACATGACAAAGACCAAATTTAGTACCGCGTAGTCGCTGTTGACATGGGCAAGACCGACTTTGGTGGTGTCTTTCAGGGCACCATAAGCCTTTCTCCAAGTCTGAAGCGTACCCATTTCCACACTCTCAGCGCTTGATCTCTCTCACACGCACAGCACAAGTGGTATTCACCCGTTGATTTAGGCTCCCTTTCCCTCGTTTTCTCCCTCTCTCTACCCCCAGGGTGACGAGGGATCCAGAATTGGAAGGACTCCAATTTGGGTTTCGTTAGATTTTCCGGGAAGATAGAGAACAGGATGAACTGCTTGGTCGACCGAACAAGCAACCTCCAAAGAGCGCTTGGGGATTGAAGGGATGGTACCGTATGCTGTTTCGTGAGCGTAAATTTCTTTTTCTTGGAAGGAGGAGTTCGAAGTTCCAACTGTCTTGTTGCCTTTTGGCGGTACCAACTACGCTGTGCGTCAGCATTTTTATTTTTAAATTACATTTTTAATGCCAACTCCGATTCTTAATACTACCTCCATCGTAATTATAAAAATTAGTTAATTAATTTAAAGAGATTGAGAAAATAATTTAAATTAGTTATTTGTCATAAATAAGTATTGTTTTTTTTAAAATATCCTTACTAATCAAGTGTATCAGCTAGAACTACCATTACTAAAAGGATTACCTTGGGAATAAATATATAAATATGAGAAAAAAAGTGGATCGGGAGTCTTATATTTAGGACCAAAATAAAATTCAAATAAAATATTATATTAAGGACCAGAGGTAGTATAATTTTTTAATATAACAGCTAACTTATTTAAATAATTAAAAAAATTAGTTAAATTAATTATTTATATTAAATAGATATTATCTTTTTTAAAATATCTTTATTAATCAAATATATTGACTAGAATTACCATTATTACAAGCACTATCTTAAAATAAATAAATAAATATGAGAGATAAAGTAGACTGGATTCTTATATTTAAAATCAAAATAAAAATCAAATAAGTTTTTATAGAAGGGGAGGTAATACGTATTTAATTATAAAAACGATTCATTTTCTTATAACTAAAGTATTCTTAAATTTATTATTTATATAAATAAACTAAACAATTCAGTCCAAAGAAAAAAAAAAACTAAACAAATTGTTGCTTGATCTTTTGGATAAAAAAGTTATGAAATGAATTTTGGTTAGAATTTTCATTTATTTTAATAATAACGGCATACCTTCCATGGTGTGGTTAGAGAACGCCGAGGATTGAAAATTTGTAAATAATTGATTGATAGTACTTCTCCGGTCCTAATTATAAGACTCAATTGACTTATTTGAGGAGATTAAGGAAGTAAGTTAAGTTGGTTATTTATAATAAATAAGTATTGTTATTCTTAAAATATCCTTGCTAATTAAGTATATTGGCTAAAACTATCATTATTAGAAGGATTATCTTGGAAAAAAATACATAAATATAAGAGAGAAAATGGATTGGGTCTTATAATTAGGACTAAATAAAAAGTCAAATTAGGTCTTATAATAAGGACCGGAGGAGTATTATACTTTAGTTCATGAGGTGGGACCTACGAATGAAAGGAATGACCTGGCCGACAGTTGGCAGCCCCTTTTTTCCTTAGATTCTCTTTTTTTTCCCCTTTTTACTTTTTTGGAGGGAAAAATTGGGTGATAACGGCAACAAAAACACAGGGTAAATCTCATCCACCTTTGGATGTTCTTCAAATTAAGGATTCATTGAACCCTTGTAGGTTTAAGTTAGGAGAACATTAGATATGAAGACCACCAATATGAAACCGAATTATAATACAACCTCCAAGATAATTAATTTATAAATATTAAAAAAAATTAGTTAAATTAATTATTCATGATAAATAAATGTTATCTTTTCTAAAATATTCTTATTAATAATATGTATTAGAATAAAAACCTCTTAACATGTACAATTATCATGAATACAAGAAATAAATAAATATAAAAGACAAAATGAATTAATGTCTTATGTTTGAAACCAAATTAAATATCTAACTAACTCTTATATTTATAACCGAAGGTAGTATAACTATTTAAGAATAATTTAGCAGATCAATGCTGATATGAACAGGCAGAATTTTGATGAGCATCTATGACCAAAGCTTCATGTTCAAAGTTTCTGAAGACTGATGAAAATATAATTACGAGTATGAAGACAGAATTCTGAGCAATTCATTGTTAAACTCTTACATTCCTTGTGATACAAATGCAACACTTGAAGAGTTATAATTCTGTTACATGCTGATTGCTTTTAACATTCAGAAACTTTTCTACTTCTTCACTGTACTCTTCATTCCTCAACTTCAAGGACTGGCATCCTGATCTTCATTAGGAACAAACTTCCTCCAAAACCAGTGAGACTTCCACACGTTGTTCATCTCTTCAATGGGCACATTCTTTGTCTCTGGGAAGAGCAAAGCAATGAAAATGGTCATTATGACCACGAAGCAGGCGAAGAAGAAGAAGAGGCCAAACTTCAGGTGGCAAAGCATAGTGAGGAAAACTTGGGCAACAGCAAAAGTGAACAACATGTTCACTGCAACATTAATAGCTTGCCCTGCAGATCGAACCTCAAGAGAGCATATTTCACTTGGCACCAACCAACCTAATGGTCCCCAAGACCAAGCAAATGCTGCAACATACGCACATATCAAAAACAATATGAAGTTTGCATCGCCTTTGCTCAGTGATCCTTCACCATTGATCCCAAACTTCACTGCTATCATCACCCCTACCAAAATCTGCAGATAATATGTTCCTTCTCAGTAATTATTAACACATATGAGTTGTTTAATCATTATTGAAGAGTTCATGAACATGAACTGTGTATATGATACCTGGCAGATGAGCATTTGGACGCCGCCTTCAAGGAACAGAATCCTTCTTCCAAACTTATCAACAGAGAATATAGAAACCAGTGTGGCTACGACATTGACACATCCAGTAATAACAGCAGACATGAGAGAAGCATCATTGCCGAAGCCTATGGTTTTAAAAAGGACTGGTGCGTAGAACATGATGACGTTGATTCCTGTGAGTTGTTGGAAGAAGGGAATGAAAGAGCAGAAGATGAGCTGAGGCCTATATCTAGGTTGTAAGATGTTCTTCCATGGATGTTCCACAAGTCTAGCTGCTTCACTAGCTTCAATGAGATCTTGCAACTCTTCATCAACGTTCTGGGTGCCACGAATCTTCTGCAACATCGCCTTGGCTTCATCACGCTTCCCTCTTTCGATCATTGAGTTTGGTGTGTCACTCAGAAAAAGAGATCCTACACACAACAATAATGCAGGCACTGCTCCTACACCTAGAGAGATTCTCCATCCATTTTCAAGCTTAGCAGTTCGGTAATTGATGAGGTTTGCAATCAGAATGCCAATTGTTATCATCATTTGAAATCCCATGTTGAGAGCTCCTCTGATCTTTGTTGGAGCCATTTCAGATAAATACACCGGCACAGACTATATATCAGGAAAAGGGGAAAAACAAGTCAGCTTTAAGATACTTTATAAAAGATCTCTCAATGCTTGAAAATGACGTTACTTACTTGATTACAATATCCCACTCCAAAACCCAACAAGAGACGGCCAATGATGAGCATGGCAATGTTGACTGCAAAGCCATTCAATAATGCGCCTACAAGGAAGAACAATCCACCAAGAAACATGGAGGGTTTACGACCAAGGATTCTTGTGGTATTGGAGGCAAAAAAAGAAGCCACCAAGGCTGCAAGATACAGAGAAGAAGTGAACAAGGTGAGAAGTTCATTATCAAATTTGCAGTATGTGCTCTCATGGTTTATGCCCTTCATTTTCCTATACACAGATGGGAAGAACTTGACCAGAAATGATTCCATTGAAGTCACTCCTCCAGTAATACCCAGATCATACCCAAACAGAAGACCTCCCATGGCGGCCACAAAGCAGGTTAGTAACACAAAGACTGTGACTTTTCCCTCATAATGTCTCACTTTGCTTTGATCAACAAATGCTCCTCCTGCCATCTTTCAAGTGAAGTATAGAATCACTTTTTAATTTGTCTTTTGCTTGCTCTTTAATTGATTAGCGCTGTATGGTATATATAGGACATGAAACGAAGACAGAATTTAAAATCCAGAGGGAGTGTTCTAACAATAAACAAGATTTTGCTTTTTTAAACGTATCAGATAATCATAATATCTAAATATGCGCACTTTTTACTTGAATTTGTTATTGAAATTGTGGTCATATATTTGTATGTCCTAAAAAAAGACCACGTTGTTGAGGATTGTTATTTCTTGTGATTATCCAATAAAAATGATACTAGTATTATTGAAATTTCTACTATATTATTATATGAAATTTTGACTTGTAAATATAAATTTTGTTAGGATCTTTTTGTGTTCACCTAAGAACTATAAAATCAGATTAAAATAAATATTCAATATTGAAATGAAAATGTTGGACGTGGCCAAAAAAAAATTGAAAATGCACACGTGAAAATATTGAAAATAGATGGTACAAAAAAAGTTTTTGTCTAAGGTCCGAATATTCTGAAAAATATATATACACACACGTTAATTTGTTTACTTCAAGTTCCTATCTAATTTTTAAATTATTTTAATGTTTATTTTGAGTAAATATTTTAAGGGTATAAAGTATAGACTTAACTGATTAATTTTTCTTTTACTTATTAGCAAAAACATATATTTTTCTTTCCATTAGTTCTTGTCTAGAGTCCAAACATTCTGAAAAATATATATACACACGTTAAGTTTTTTACCTCAAGTTTCTATCTAATTTTTAAATTATTTTAATGTCTATTTTGAGTAAATATTTTAAGGGTATCAAGTATAGACTTAACAGATTAATTTTTCTTTGGCCAAAAAAAAAAAACAGATTAATTTTTCTTTTACTTATTAACTAAAGCATGTAGTTTTTCTTTCCATTAGTTTTTGTCTAGACTCCGAATATCCTGAAAAATATATATACACGCGCTCCTTAATTTTTTTTACTTCAAGTTCCTATCTAATTTTTAAATTATTTTAATGTTATTGAGTAAATATTTTAAGGGTATAAATATAGACTTTACAGATTAATTTTTCTTTTACTTATTTACGAAAGCATACATTTTTTCTTTCTATTATTATTATTATTATTATTATTATTATTATTATTATTATTTCACTTTTGATTGGAGCCCCTGTGAGATTTAGGGTCTTTTTGTTTTTTTCTAAGTTTTCTTATTCTCAGAATAACTTTATAAAATTTTTTTAGAACAAGTTTTAGAAACAAAAAATGAAAAAACTTTATTTGAAAAATAATTTTTAAAAAATCAAATTTAAAAAAAAAAAAAATAAAAAATAACAATTTGATAAGTGGTAATAAAACAAAAATTTGTTTGGTTATTATGAATAGAATTATTTTATTTAAAAGAAAATATATAAAAAATAGAAAATTTCTCCAATTTTTCAAAAAAAAAAAATAAAAACATTAAAAAAATATGTAAAAATTATTTTAGTTTTTTAATTTTTAAAAATATGTTATTGTTTTTTTAAATAATCGACTAAATTTTTTTTTTTTTGTTTTTCCTGTTTTTGAAAACAAAATTTTTTTTTCAAAGCAAATAACCCAACAGGCTCTTACTTTTCCTCCGAGTGATTTTAATTAAGGAGTAAGGACGGCCAAATAGCGGGCGCGGGAAGGAGGACGACGACGGCGCTGCAACTCCATCAAGCTCTGTTCTCTTCTATCTGAACTTCAAATCGGTAAGGTAAATATTTAATTACCCTTTCTTTTGGTTTGAAATTCACTGGGGTGGTTTCGAAAGATTCTTAGAGTTCAAGGGTCATCAGCTCATATTTCGTTTTGCTCTGGCTTTCGGCATTTGTTTGGTTATTATGAATAGAATTATTCAAGTGCTGGATGCTTCTTGGAAATATGGGTATTTAATTGTCGGTCTCCTCTGATGGGTGGTACTATTTTGGATTGATTGAAGAAAATGGGGATCGTGGAGGTTGAGTTCAGTTGATATGGTCTATTTACGATTAAGCTCTTGCCTTGTTCTTAAACTTGATAAAATGGCCTTAAAATGCATGTTATTCCTGTTCTGTTTCTGAATGCCATTTTGTTTTTTGTTTTTGCCCCCTCTCCTTCTTGGGCATGAATGCTTTGATAATGCTACTTAGTATCTATAATGTGGGACAAAATGAGCATCTTTGATATGTATTCGGGTGTGATATATGATGGTATGATTGAATGAATGGACAATACGACCAAAATGTCAGGCATTGGTTTCCAATTGGTTTTCTTTATGGGCATCAGGCAGGTGCTTTCTTAATGCCCCTCAACTAAGACTAAGGCCATTCAAGGCTTAATACCTCAAAAAAGCAGCTTTCGCCTTGGCTTCAATTACCTTGATCATATGTATGTGTGTATATTCTATTGTAGCTGATGTCATATGCTGTTTCATTTGTATTTGGCTGTGGCATGGTTTTTATAATATGCAGCATGAAAATGATCAAGCTGCTGAATGCTTCTATGTATTATATGCATTGCATGTTAATGTTGATGGTGGATTTTAGGTATTGTGTGCATTTTTGGATCTTTTTTTATAATATTTGTAAATATTACTTTTCATAGTCCCTTGAGCAGTCCTGGGTAAAAAATTTACTTTTGACATCCTGATATGCGTTCTCTCAGGAAAGGTCCTCAAATATTGTTATTAACGTTTTCTATGAAGGCTTCTACATCTGAACTTTGGATATTTACGTATGAAATGGTTATTGGACCATACAGATCCTTGTTTCCCAGCTGAACAGGCTTTTGTGTTGGATTTGGTTCATGGCCATCTACAAATAGACAAGTCTAACTGAATATAAACCATACGTCACAAAATCAATCAACCTTTCAAGTTTTTCAGTTGTATTAGCCAGTATAATTGATTGGAATGGTAATATTTATGTTGAATGGTAGCAGATGCTGTTTCATATGTGTTTTTAGTCTTCTTTTTTTTTTTTCACTGTTATGATTATTCATGGATTTGTTCCCAGTAAATATCGGACTAATTATATTTACTTTGAGTTACTAATTGAAAGCTTTAAAACGGAGCTTGTATGTAGTAATGGGAACTCAAGATACAAAAGACCCCTTCAAAGGGGTGGATTGGAAAGCCGTTGGTGGTGAAATGCAACAGAATCCTAGTGCTCAGCCAGTTTTGAAGAAACGTCTCCCAAAAAAGGTTAGGGAAATCCCTGACTACTATTTCCTTCCTCGACGGTCTCTGCCTTCAGCTATCGCTTTCTATGGTTCCTGCATTGCTGGTGGTATTGCTGCCGGAATGCTTTTAGAGGTCTGGATTAACAAGAAAGTTAAAGGTATATTTCATCTCCTCTTACAACTAAATTGATTGCATTGTGGCCATAATAGGTTAACTCTTGCCTAGTAAAAGCTTTACTTGCTACATGCCATAATAATCTGATGTCCGAAGTTCCTTATTTGGATTTAAGAAATTATGAGAGTCAAAAAACGGCGAGAGGCTCTGTAGCTTATTAATATCTAACATTAAAGTTCTAGAAAGGCGGAAATTCGAACGATCAGAATAGTTCTACTTGTTTCAACTTATTCTACCAGAAAAAGGGAAGCATATTATCTCATGGCTCTGAGCAGAATGAACCCAATATGCGAGATGGGATGTAATTCTACTAGATGTTAGCTCTTTAGGTGGTTTGCATTGTAAAGGTTGTATCATGATCAACTGTTCTATCTTACCATAATCCCAAAGAAATATTGTAAAAAAGCCCTAAATAGAATACAAAACTCAGTGTGGATAGGTTATTTCGGGGCTCAAGCCTCGAGGAATGGATTCTTGCTCACCTAAATCTCCATTTAAAATCTCATATGAAAGCCATCACTTGACCCCAGTTCATACATTACCAATGGCGAAGTTTTACTTGTGATTTTGTTCTTGTTTTTTTGAAATTGAAATTAGGGATTATTGTTAAGATTTTGGTTTTTGGCATTGCAGAAGATGGAGGCGTTATATGGGAGTTTGACAAGTAGACACTTGTAATGGTACCAACCACTGTGATGCATTGTTTAATTACCAAACTTCTCGAGATTTCATGGTCTAGAGGATTAATGCAGGTGTTTTCTTCAATAGCCGGTTGTATTCACAGGTAGATCACATGTTCAAATATTTGCATAATAAATTTTGATCCGATTATTAGAATGAGCATCTATATCTTTTGAAAGTATTCTGATTTGTTTCCTTTCCGAGATCGAGCCACCCTGCCAAGCACTGAACATTACTGCCATGTGTCTGGCCTAAAGAGAAGAAAAACTACTGCCGCGCATATTTTCACTTTTTTATTCATTTTGATAAACATCACGTACTTGAGTTTTAAATCGTAATGGAATTATATCATAAACTACTCGGGATGGTACAGTTCAGATCCACCAACCTTTTTACCATACTTCCTAACTGCAGCTTTTTTAACACCTTTGAATCATCTCGGTACTGTGCAGACAATATGGAACGACTATCTCGAGCATGTGAATTAGACCACTATCATTGGCATTTTCTCTCTCTTTTCCTTTTTTGGAGTAACGTCAGTGGCATTTTCGAATGCGTCCTTCCAAGGAGGAGTTTTTTTTTTTTTTTTTGGGGGGGGTGTAGGGGGGATGACGAGTACAATGAGTCGAGCAGAAAAGAGTAGAAGGATAATTCGCGCCTAAACAGTAATATCAATCTTGAAAATAGGGGGGGGGGGAACACAGATAACACGAATAGAGGAAGGCAAACAGGATGGCAGAGACTAAGCTGATAACAGTGCAAAATTAGCAGAACACTCTTCCGTATTGGGTCGTAAAAATTCACATGATTCAACTAAAACTCACTTCAGAATACAAAATTTACTTGTGTATCGTGTCAGCTAAAAGCTTAACTTAGGAGACTCAAAATGCTACAACAAAATTAAATGAAACGCTAAACGGTCAAACTATGAAAGTAAACCCTGCCACCTGAGGCTACGCGGGTGATTGGGTAAGAAGAAATTTAAATTAAAAACTAAAAAGTCGGAAGTGCGATCATCCTCCTATATTCGAGAGGAAAGTAAGCGCCGAAGCTGTGCTGGCCTCATTCTCAATCAAGTGTACAACATCCCATCATGCGCTTCTCTTGAAGCAATTGCACTACTTTACCCATTAAGATAGGGATATGCTGGGAAGAAAATCCCCGTCTGCTGTATCACAGGATATTTATCAAAAGCCGCTGTGAGAGCTGAAAGCTTCTGATAGTTTCTTCAAATCCCAAGTCTCCACATTGGGGGACAGAAAAAAAGCACCCACGGCCACAGCAATGACTGTGAAGGCCAAGCATGTCTTGCACCCATGGCTTCGAGATACTCTTCCTAACATTACCCTGCAGTACTTATCTGCATCCTTGAAGAGTGCTTGTTGAGAAGCTTCTGTCCCAGAAGCCAAAGCTTTCTCATTCTGTCGCCAGAGAAGTTTTATATATGAGTTTCAGTTATGCTGCTACTAATCAAAATCATAAAAACAGGATAGTCTGTCCATCAGAGTTATTGATATGTGATTCCAGATGCACCAAATTGGAAGTATATCATGCCGTTAGAGGAATGAGATCTTACCTTTTCCTTGAAACTCTTTAGAGTCTCCCTTAGTGGTTCGTGAGGAGACAATTTTGCAGACTGCTCCTTCCAATCGTCAGAGAGCTTTTTCAGAACAGAAATGCTCGCTTCCAGGTTCTCCTCATAAGCTTTTTCCTGCTCATAATCAATTAACAAAAAGACTAAATTAGTAAAATCTGGGGTGGGGGTTGGGGGAAGGAAAGCATATATGCCCAGAGTAGCTCTCACCCATTGCTTGTAGCATTCAGAGGTTTGGCTCAAGCACCAGATGACAATACTAGCTGCCTCCTTTGATAACTCAGGATTTCCTGAAACACAGCCTTGTTCAAGACCACCTCTACATATTTATTTCCCTAATATTTCATCAAAACAACAAAAGAGAACACGATAAAACCAAAAAGATCAGGTATACATACTTTCCCCTGCTGCTCTGAGGGCAAAATTGAATATCTGTTGGGAAGCTTGCTTCATTGCTTTACTTCCATGGGAACCAGCAAGAGCCACCTCTTTCAAAGTGGGATATACAGCTTCAAATCTTTCAGTAGCCTGCATAAAACCAATCATATAGACATTGGGTCTTAATGGTTTTAAGCAATGATACATATAACTGTTGACATTACCAAAACTAACTGAAAACCTACCTTTACCCTAGCTGAAGATGCAGGGAAAGTAACTCGCATCAATATTTCAAATGAAGAAGGAGGAATTAATCGTTCCCCTTTCCTTACAGCACCATTTACTAAAATAGACCGAGCTTTTGGGGCAGACAAAAACCTGCCATCAAATCAAGTTAAAGAAAAATTACAGTGATGATGTAACAAAGGATTGAAAAGTAACATTTATGCTGGCAAAAAGGGAGACATTTATGTTTACATACTTTTCCACTAGCTGCAAAATCAAATCTCTGGATAGTGGGTTACCACTTTTGCTTGTCACTATGGGTAGGAGATTGCGAGCCCAAGCGTATAAACCTACTGAGAGATCCCCAACTGAAGCCTACACAGAATGCCTCATTAATCAGCATCAGCAATGGAAAGGGAAATAAACAAACAACAGTTTTATTGAAGAGAATAGATTATTCAACTTATTTATTCCATGCGTTTCATAAGAACCCACTTTGACATCTATCATTTACCTGAGCTATCATCCAAACAATCACATGAAGTTTATCTTGCCCTTGATACTTCGCATTTTCCCTCAATGTGGGTAATAGAGTAACTAGGACATCAGGCTTCCTTCGTAATACCATTGCTAAAACAACAAATATGGCAACCTGCAGGTCATGTCAATTCAATGTGAATTGACAGAACGAGGATGCGGTGAAAAAAGAAGATCATATTTACATTTAGAATTCTCGAACAAATCAGACGAAGATTGAATTTGAATATAACTTAAGTAACAGAAGGGAACCATCTTCAAAGAAACAAAAATTCACAGAACCAATATGGTCTAAGGAAAAGGCACGCAAACTGATAAGGACAAACAATCATCAAAATCAGATTCAACTTACTGCTTTTATTGGTTTTCACTACTCAGCAGAAATAATTGTGATCAAATTAGAAAATCAGAAGAAAATACAAATTTCAATTTTTGCCAGCCCAATGAACTACTATGTTGACTTTCCAAGGTAAACACCAGAACTACGTGCTCCAACCATGGTTATTCATAAACTCAAGTGATTTTCAAACTTTAGAACAAGAAAACCTCACAGACTAGCAGATAAACTTAATTTTTGCTAAACACAAAAACTTGATTAAAATCACAAGTTTACAACTTTATGAAACAAGCAATATCCAATATTTAATAAGCCCACTCGTCTTTCATCATTCGATCACAGTCAGTAATGAAGAAAAATGCAGTCTAAAATGCTCCTCTCAGAAGAAACCAGTAATAATTTAGAGTCCATCATCAATTCCCACACTGCCAACGTCACCCAGCCAGTTACACCTTCACACTACGGCCCTACAACAATTCCTTCAACCCAGTCACATCTTCGAATAGCTTTGTTGAATTTTCACATTTAAGTTGTAAGCTTATAGCTAAATTACATATGAATTATATTTTTATAGTGCAAAAAATAATCTTGTTCTTTGTTTCTTGACAGTTTATTTGTACATTTGATGTTGCCTATTACATCTTTTATTTATCTTTTCTCCATTTTAAGATGCATATTGACAAGCCAATATAAAGTTACCTGAGATTTTGAGGTGGCTTGTTGCGAACCCTTTTTGGAGCCCTTGGCCACAGTTTGCTGGCTAGCTATATCAGCAAGAATGCTATCTATAGACCATAGCACAAAGGAGCTCAGTGCCTCAGGAGAACGTTGGTTGATCCAGTCAACCGATGTCTTACACACCGCATCAGAAATATGAGAGAGAGGAATCTGGCAAAAGATGCATTTACTGATTAACTTGCGAGGAGGAAAATCAAATAACAGAAACCAAATTCTGAAAACACATATAACTGAGCACCTAAATGTGGAATGACAATGATCAGATATTCTTGGAACATCATCTCTTGCCATAACACCAAAAGAAGTTAAGCCTGATGATCTAAATATGAGGCAAAACAGTTTCTTTGAAAGCCAGTCGATGGTTCATACTTCTCATTCTAGATGAAGAATTACATTTGAAATGGCATGCATGAATATGTCCCATCAAATTTTTTCTTTTGGGGCCTTCTAACGCTAGTTTTCACTCCATTGGATCTAGATATTGAAACTTCCCCGGATTCTGTATCACAACTATTACAACAGATATGCCTATGGTATAACGAGGAAAAAGAAGAATGCGTAACTCACATCGACTATCTTAGCCACCGTCGACTCCCTGAACAACTTCATCCAGGGAAATTGAGAGGAGCTCACTGAAGAAAATGCACGTCCAAAATAATCTGCAAATCGCATCATCTGTATGTCCTGCTGCTTGTCGTAGGATGTCTATTGATAAAAACAAACATAAAATCAGATAACATGCGTTTCCTCCCTAAGCCAACAGATCAAACCCAAAGAAAATCATAAGCACGCGAAATTCAAATCCAGTAGCCAATTAAGAAGCCCACCGATATATCAACCAGAAAAGCCGCCAGATCAGCAGCGTCGATCTTCGCTGCCGCTTCTGCCACGGTCACCTTCGGCTTCTTCTCCTTCTTCGGTTTCACCTTCTTCACATCCTCCGCTTTACCATTCTCGGCCGAAGCCCCCGCACCATCATTATCGTCGTCATCATCCTCGTAATCGTAATCAGACCGTTGCTTCGATCTGATCGGAACATCAGTGAAGCCAGCATTGGCCGCTCTCTGTGCTTCGACAATTCGCCGACGGCGGTCCTCCGATTGCTTCTCGATCGACCGGAAAACGTTGTCGGCAACACCGGTCAAAGTACCATTGGAATTCGCCAGGGGATGAGAGCTGTTGTTGTTGTTGTTGTTGTTGGGCTTCGTCTTCTTGTGTCGCTTGGCGTAGGTGACCTTCTGCCATCCATGGTCGCTGTTGTTGTTGACGCTGTGACTAGCAGAATGGCCGCCGTTTGCTTCATTAGGGCTTGATTCGAAAGATGAATGCTTGTCTTCCATTGTCACGAGCAGAGAAAATTCAAGCTTTGTCTCTTTCCCTCTCTTTCAAGCAGGAAATGCTTTGGAAAAAACGAGAAAACCAGAAAGCAAGAGAAGGAGAAAACGAAGGAAGTTGAAAAGGAAATTTTATTGCGTTGACTTCATGTAATTGACCTTCCTTTTGTCATTGAATTACGTTAATGCCATGGTGGCTGACGGATGGGGGGAGCACGTGTTTCAGCTAATAGGGCCTCAACGCGTGTCAATTAAACAGTCCAGTCAAAACATGAAGATTGATTTATAATATTGTTTGGACCGTATTAAGTATTAAATTTATATTTTTTTTGGTAGGACATTTTTTTTTTTCATTTTATAGAAAAATGCAAAAAGTGTTTAAAATAATATTTATATTCTATATCAGGTTAATATAATCTTTGGTTCTTTAAATTTGTTATCATTTTGGTTTCAATCTCTCAAGTTTTAAACTATAAATTTTAGTCTTTGAAGGGGCACAATAGTCTAAATTTTTATTAAATTATAAGGACCAATATTATAAATAAAAAAAAGGACCAAAGTTTGAATTAAGGCGTTATATATCATATATCATATATATATGTTTTCTCAATCTTTTCAATCACGTATTTTCTTTTTATTTTTAATTATTTAAATCTCTTCAGAAAATAGAGAATAAATCATGGGGGCTACTTTTGACATTTTAGATCAAAATAAGCATAAAACGAATATAAACCTTATAACATTTCCCCGCGTTCATGCATAATGTATATACGTATAGAGCCTCTCTAGTTATTAGGCAAAAAGAAAAAAGAGCCTCACTAGTTCCACTTCCATAAACATCTTTCCTACTTTTAACGATTTGACCAAATTAAAAAAAAAAAAAAAAAGATCTGCATGATTTTAGTAAGTTATATAAGAAAGTAATCTTGGGCTCAATTCGATGTAAAAACTATGGAGTCACATTCGAAAATTATTATGCCATGTCCTACTCCTCTCAAAAATAATTTAAACTTGCAATATCGTATTTAAACCTATGTTTGGTATGATGGAAATGGAAGGGGGAGGGGGGGGAGAGGAAATTTTAATAAGCTTAATTTAAAAAATTAAGAAAATGGGGTAGTAAAATTTTAATAAAGAGAAAGTGTAAGATAAAAGAATGATAAAAATCAATTGAAAGCTTTTAACCCAACTTCTTTAATTTTTGAAATTAAGCCCATTAAAATTTTTTTCTTCTCCTCACCTCCCCCTCATTTTCTTCGTACCAAACCAAAACCGCTATACTTTATGCGGATTAAAGTCAGACTAACGTGTACTGGTGTGCCCTATAGTTTTTAACTTTATATGTTAAGTGAAGTTGTGTCTTTTTTTTTTTGTTCTAATTAGTGAAGTTGTTGTTTAATTTTCGTAAGGTTGTTGTTTTGGGTGACTGTAAATCGGAAGCAGTGTAGCTATAATTTTTTGCCCATGTGTTGGCAGGATGGCGAATGTATCTTGACTAAAAATGTATTTGAATAGAAACTAAATTATAGTTTTAAAAGTGATTTTGCGATATACAAAATAAATATGTTGAAAAGTTTGTTTCAATTTAAGAAAAAATACTTTTAAAAAGTACTTTTAAGAAGATCCAAACACCCTCTAAATGGCAAAAGGAGAAAATAGTGATTAAGAAATCATCCCCAAAACTAAAAAAGGACGATTGAGAAAAGATGGTTAGAAATCAGAACTCAAGAATGGATGAAGTTACCCATGTTCTTTCTTAAATCCATCAATGGAGTTTTGTGGTTTATTAGCAGGTGCTCTCTCTCTCTCTCTCATGCATCCTTGTTGGGTACAGGTTCTCCCATCTTGTGATGAGAAAATATCGTGATTTTAAGTAAAAGCTGATCTTTTGGCCAAAAAAAGAGTAAAACCTCACTCAGTTAATTTAGGTAGTCAACTAAGCATAGCCACAGGTGGGTTGATCTTCATTTCTCCTTTTCTTCTCTAAACATCTTGACAGAGAATTGAGAGGTTCTGATACAGAGGCATTACTCATTTGATAAGGACAGCAGGGAAGTTCAACGGCTGACAAGAACTTGTTCCCAGAAATCCCACTGGATCAAGTCATATGCCTTTTTTAGATCAACCTTCACAGCACAATGGAGGGTATTGGACTTCCCATGATATTTCCTCAATTACTTATACGCTAAGACAAAACTCCAGGCACAAAACTATTATGTTAGGAATGAAGCATAAGGGGTCTGTCTGTCTATTTTTCTGTGGAGGAATCTTGATGTCCCGTACCAGAATTCGTCTTTCCTGTTAATAACATCAAGTTAACAGAAATTGAAGTGCTACTTCAGATTCATTAATCAAGTCTTGTGAGTGGCAATTCACATTCCCATAGACGGCCAAAAGCAAATCAGTGTATATTACAACAAAAATTCATGAAAAACAGCATGAGTGAGATGCAGTCTTTTCTGCGGCCCTAGGAAATTCCTTATTCAGTTCATTCAAATTTTTGCTACAAACAAGTTATTCCCAAATAATATATGCTACAGTTATGCAGGCCGCAACTCTCATATCTCCAAGCCACCTTAGTGGCAATTTCCATGAGAAGGATTTAGGTTCTCGGTTCTCACCATGCATGCCTGAAATAATACAAAAATACACGTTAGAATTGCCAAACATATTGCCATTTCTAATCGATATTATCAGAGTAAACAAGATTGTAGATGTGATCTCTTCTGATTGTTGCATAACTCTCATGAAACCTGAAAAAGAGAAAATGGGGGTGGGGAGAGCCCAAAGGTACAAAGTGTGCGAAACAGTGTTCACATGATACTCTCCCTTTCTGATGTGTGTTCATGCTTCATAGATAGTAGCAAATCAATTGGTTATATTATTGAATCTTGTATGATTTCAAGACAAGCGCAACGCAAACACCAGGAATGCATACGTATTAAGTCAAAATTTCCCATCATTTATGTGGGCAAACTTGTACACATTACTGGATCCTACTATCTTTTACTACCTCTGGTCCGTATTACAAGGATCTCCTATGTTTCTTATTATAACATTCTGAGTTTAAAACATCTAACTTTTTCCATCTAACTATAACACTTCCTAATTAATTAAACAAATCTTCTGGCTAATGACTTTTATGGATGGTAATTTTGAAATTTTACAAGTAATAACTAATTTCAACTAACTTACCTAAAATTATTAATAGGTGTTTATAAGAAAGACCAGTGAGTAACTGTTTTTCGAGTTTTAATTAGATAAAATCAAAACGAGTTGAAAATCATGCTGAAAGTTATGCATTTGAAAAGTACAGAATCCCCATAACTTGTCCGGGGGCTATCCCATATTTAATAAATAGCATATTTTATAGGAATCTCTTGGGGGGTGTTTGGATGAAACCAAATCATAGTTTGGAGAATAGCTTTTGGAGAAAATAGATTTTGTGAAAAAGTGATTTTGAGAAGTGAGAGTGTTTGGATAGTTATTATTAGAAGCACTTTTTATATATACAAATTACTAAAAAAAACATAAGTTAATATGATAATTACATAAAAGATAAATTTTATGATATATTTTAATTTGAAAGAATAAAATTGTTAATAATATATTTTTTACCAACATAATTAATAATACATAAGATAATATAATTAATAAATAATTAATATGTGTATATATATTTATACGATATAAGATTAAATATGTTTATAAAACAAATAATTAAATGATGTTAAAGTCATATTGTTGAGATCTACTCTGACAGGTACAATCATACTCTCCAATTTGAGTTAGAAGTAGAATGGATTCACTTCTCCGGACACCATGGTTCGGGGCTCCAAAACCATGGTTTCGGCCCAAACCATGGTTTCAAATTATTTCTCCAAAATTGATGCTGTTTAGGTGACATCCCACCCAAACCATGGTTTTGCCTCCCAAACCATGGTTTTGGGGGGCACCCAAACAGACCCCATGGTAGAAGTTCAAAACCCCTCTGGCACCACTAGAAGGTTCGGAAAACCATCAAGTCTGTTTGTCAGATATCTAATCCTAACAAGGGGCAGTTTGAAAAACAACACATGATTTGCAGCATCTCTGTCAGGACACACTATTAAAGGGACACAATTTGATTTCAAGAAATGAAGGGCTGAAGGCGGAAGGTTGCTGATTTGCTATATCTCATGATAATATTTGAAAAGTTTTAAACATCCACATCTCTCGTAGCATGCATTTAAAAGAAGCACAACAGAGTACAGAGAGCATGCAGGAATTTTATGGGCTTTAAGCTCAAAGGATTAGATGAAAACTGCACAGCGCTTCTCAATAAACACTGAAAAGCAAGTTCTGTTGAACAACTAGGGTCTTGGGCTCCAAGTCCTGGCCCTAGCCTTAGTGTAGAAAATAACAGTATGACCAAACAGCCAAAAGGAGAAGACACTAGATTGTGACAATTTAGAAGAATCAGTACTTATTCCTTTTATTTTGAAACAACAGTCACTCAACTGATTTAGGTAATCCTTCCAACTTGAAGCAAAATCTCAAGACACTTCTCAGTTCATTTACAAAGTTAAATAGTTAGCTTTAGGGCTCATTGTCAAACTATTGACCATTCACCAGTTCATCTGCATCAACTGAAACAAAACTAAACTTGAAAACAATTCCTTCTATGCCAATATGTAATTTTCTAACTCACTCACTTGTTAAACAAACAACGCAGCTTACAAGTGAAGAACCTTGATAACTTAATTGTTTAATGCCAATGGTAAGAGAGGGCATTAGGAACCAGTAAACACACAACTCGCTCAAATTGCTGAGATTCATAGATTGAGTCTTAGACTTTGAAAATAATATTGGTGATGACCAAATCTGCACTAGACATCAATCGTTTTAGAAACTCCTCCTATTCATCCCAGTCACCAAGTGTTGTGATCTCATTGTGCATTTGTTATACATCAATGACAAGGATTTCAAAATAAATATATCTATCGGCAGGATCCATCTTAAGAAGTATAACAGGAAGGATGAAAAAGGCAAGGGGGATGACTTCTTACTTCCTAGTTGCATAGTGAAGGAGATAAACAAAAGGTGACACACAAAGAATCCACCCATAACACTGAAAGGGGAAGCCTAAGTCATAGTCAAGTACATGAAAGAAGATTTATTCACATGAAGGAATGTAAAGTAAGATATCTGAGTAGCAGGTATCTTATCTGCGTAAGAAGCAGAAGTGGACAGACTCAAATGATTTACTCTTCGCTTTAAGAGATGAAAATAAAGAGAACAGGTAAAAGCGAACTCAGGTCGACTATTCAGTGGAATGATTAAAAAGACATTTCAGAAATAAAGCTAACACCTTAGTCAATACAAAGGATGGCAACAAATTCACTTGCATAAAACAGATTACGAAAAGAATGAAGTCATTAAAATAGGTTGAAACAGATTTCAAATAACAGTTTATGCTTTTATCCTGTAACGATACAAACATAAAGCAGACATAGAGAGACACACCCAAGAAATTCCCAATATTCTTAATTAAAAAAAAAAAAAGACAAAAACGTATTACTGTTTAAGAAACATAATTCATACATCAAGATTAGCATGGGCTTTACTAAACATATGTCAAACAGTGATGCATAAAAGTAAATAACAAGCATGTCAAGAAATGAAAGCCGCAGGCACCCAAATTAAAAAGTGCAGAAGCCAGAAGCAAAGTGCACACTACCTTTGAAGAATTCAGTTACAGATCGTGACCCATTGTAGAGTACGAACCACAGTAATACAATCATCAAGGTATCTGGCAACGGTAAGGAACTTACAAATGCAATACTATGATTGTGATAAAACTAAGAATGGCCCCAACTTTTTTAGTAAAGGGCATTCAACATTTTCAGCTTTCTTTGCCCCGAAAAGATGTCCAGACCACTAATTTAAGATAACAGAAGCATGAGAAACCCACTTTCCAGCACGGTCGAAATAAACGTAACGACATGTAGATTTATAAGTGCAATTTCACAAAGTGATCATCCTGTATTTTTTTTAGCTATCGGAGCAACTTTGAGATTCTGACTTTATTAATCAAATGTTTCAAGAGAAAATAGAGATTAAGAAATACCCATTCATGAAAGTTAAAACCTCCACTCCCCAGTCTAACACAGAAGCTCTACTTTCGGGTTTTGGGGGAATCTCAAAGAAAGCAAATAAAGCAGCGAAAACGCATATCAAAATGAAGGGGGAATGAAGGATACTGAAAAGATAGCGTTCCCACCAATCCAGCATATAAAGCCCAAAGGTGACATTGTAGAGGTAGATCTTGCGCTGAACCCAATTCATTATCTTTCGAAGCAGCAAATTTCAATCAACCAGACTTCTTTGAAACAAGTCGACAAAGCAAGCTGAATGAGAAAAAATAAATTAGAAAAAAAGTGCTGATACCCAGAATCGGGCTAAGACAGCAGTGAGAGAGGTAGATCGAACGCAGACGAGCTTGGCCCGGGAAAGATCACGAATGAAGACCAAGAATCTCACGAATTTAAACAATTATTCAACAACTAATGTCTTGTTCTGGCGAAAGAGAGAAACAAAGATTGACCGACGAAGAGTAGGTGAGCAAATCCAAAAAGCAAAAAACGTGGGCACAGAATGAGTAGGTGAACAAAATAATCGAAGTATCGAACAGAGGATAAGAATTCACTAATTACTAGAGGCACTGACTGGCCTTCGCTTCTCCTTTCTCTTATATCCCCTTGCTTTATTTTTGATGCCGTTCTAGCGTTCCTTGATTGTTTTTACAGTTATAGGAGTACGACAGTCGTCTGGATTTGCTTTTGGAGAACGCTAAGTTAAATTAGTTGATCGGCAAATCTCAATCAATATTGAATTGATCTTTCTGGGTGTTTCGTTAAATTTCGAGGGAAAGGTTATTTTTTTATTCCGGGCATAAATATATTATTGATATAATCTATTTTATCCTCTGTCCCAGATAAAAATAATGGACAATTAGAATTTTGTTGGAAAGTGCGAAGCCTAATTCTTTTTTTTTTTGATAGACTGAGATTGATAAAATATTGGACACCTGAAATTCTACTTCCACCAATCAACATGCTCATATGAAGCTGCCTATAATATATTGCGCATATGTTAATAAATACACTTATACACATATCTTAATCAATGCCAAATTAATATATTATTTATTTTAACATTAAATATAAGAGTTAAATAATTGATTTATCTATATTAAAAAAATTAAGTTTTTTATTTATTTAATGTATTGATTTTTCTAAAAATACTACATACAGACGCAAATCCTTTTTTTTTTTCTTGCCAATGATGGAAACCCTTAATTATTAGAGATAATTTGAAAAAAAAATTTATAAATTTAAAAAACAAAATAGATTGGTATCTTATATTTAATGTGAAAATAAACTAAAACTACATAACTAATTCCTATATTTAGTATACTGTATCCACAATTCACACACACACATATAGATATATATATATATATATATATATATTAATTAGAGCAAACCATTTTCTAGGTTATGGTGGACTGGGGACTCAGCCAACAACCTCCATACCTCAGCTATGAGTCAAACCTGTAAAGTCCATATTGGGTGGGGCTTTCTACTAATATTCTATCAACAATTAAAAAAAAAAATTAATATAATCTTTAGTCCTTTAAGTTTATTGTCATTTTGGTTTTGATTTCTCAAATTTCAAACTATAAGTTTTGGTCCCTTAAAGAACAAAATGGTCTAAGTTTTTATTGGGTTATGAGGACCAATGTTATAAATGAAAAGAAACTTGAGGGACCAAAATCTATAGTTTGAAATTTGAAGGACCAAAATCTATAGTTTGAAATTTGAGAGACTAAAACCAAAATAAAGATAAACTTGAGGGATCAAAGTTTATATTAATCCTAAAAAAATTACATTCCTTCTTAACAAGTATAAGATTTAACTTGTAAGTTGAATTGTACTGTGACCTAGATCTAAATCGAAAGTAATATTACAAAAATATTACATGGTGATAATTATTTATTATTGATCAAATTGCTGTATAAAATCTTTCAAAGAGGCAACTTGCTTTTCATCTAATGTGACACTAATATTTTTTTTAATTAAAACATGAAACAATTCATGCATTCAATGTCTTTTAATGAAAAAGAAAAATTGATCAGAGTTGCGTCACCTTCAATTCCTTTTCTTTTCACCCAGATCCCTCTCCTCCATTTCTTTCATCTTTTCTTTATTACGACTATTAAAAACCCTTTTTTTATCCCAAAAAATAAATGAAAATGGATGTTTCTTCCCCCACCGGATGGATCACATGGATCATTAAATTTTCTCAACCACCACCGCAATTCCCATCATCATAACATGGATAAGGAGAAGAGGAAGGTGACGCAAAACTGATCAATTTTAACTTTTCATTAAAAAAGACATTAAGGTCCTGTTTGGCATAGCAGTAGAAATCCCTGTAAGCTTGCTTTACGTAAGTTGAGATTAAATTTTTTTCACATACTTATCTCGTATTCTGTAAATTACGATTAAAAAACAGCTTATAAGCTACTTATAAACTGTTCTAAATGAGCCCTAAGTGTATATGGGGAACTGAAGTCGCTCTTCCTTTGACGATTTCATGTCTTAATTAAAGAATTATAAATGTCATCTCAGACGAATAAAGCAAGGTGGTGTTTTGCTGCATGAACAATTTTTCTGTAAATTGTAACCCGTTCATTTCTTGAATGATTTCTCATGAACATTTTGGTAATATCTTTTACGTACTGTTTGTAAAATTCATGTATATGTAGTATATCTAGTCTTTAATATAAGAGTCAATTTGTCATTCAATTTGGTTGTAAATATAAAATCAATCCACTTTATCTCCCATATGTATCTTTTTCTTTTTTTTAATAAGGTAGTCGTTCTAGTAGTTGCATAAGTTGAAAGTTTCATCAAATGGTAGTTCTAGCTAATACATATAATTAGTAAGGATATTTTAGGGAAGATAACCCATATATCTTATCAATAACTAATTCAACTAATTTTCTTGATATACTCAAATTAGACGCCGGATAAGAGGTGGTACAAAATAATACTGTGGGGTTAAGAAATTAAACAAGTCATCACGTAAAGAAGGCGGATATAAAGAGTAGGTGCCTTTTGAAGAAATGAATAACATATGGGGATCCACTACTGTAGAGGACAAGCCACAATAGCCCAATCACCAAGACATCTGTCACAACTTAACTAAGAACTCACAACATTCTCTGCTCTTAATTAGCTCGTTAATTAATTTCTTTTCCACTTCCATATATAGAGATTACCACTTACCAATTAAAGGGGTGACGTAGAAAAAGGATACATAAAACATAACACTCCCACAAATCCAGCATATAAAACCCAAAAGTGACATTGTACAGGAACACCTTGCTCTGAATCCAATTCATTATTGTCGTCACAACTTGTTTCTAACACCTCAGAACTGAATCAATTACAAGGACCCATCAGGCCATAAGATGAGGTTGTGGGATGGATATATAATTAGATGATAGTTATTAAATTGCATGTATAATGTTTTATTTACAGAAGCATTGAAATTTGAACGTTCAGATTAATTATAGGCAACAGTTATATTAATGATTAATGATACGTCTAGCAAGGAGGGTTTGGGGGCTAGTCCAGTTGATTTGAAGTTAACACTGCAACAGCTCATCTCATGACGTTATATAGTAATGATAATTGTGAATTGTGTGATATGTACAAGAAATTAATAGAAAGCACACGTTTTAATGTTGTTCAAGCAGTATAGTTATGGGTAATTAATTGCTAGGAATTCCTACTAATATGTTAGACGTCAAGATAATCACTTGGCTGGGAGATCAGATACAAATAAACCAACTTTATAGATGTGTTTCCACGTTTTAGTGAGCGCAAGTTTTATTTGCGCTTCAAATATCTTGTTAAATTATATGATTCTGAAGCAGTTCTTTATCTTCGTATAAATGTCCGAAATTGAGGCTAATTGGTGATGAAATTTTGGAAGCTTCTTTACTTCTTCGTTGGCTTCTGAAAGGTGAGCACAAATCTCTTTGGTGCACATCATTACTTGTCAAAGGGGCATTTCGGAGAATCTGAAGAAGACGGAAGAATGTTTTGGGGCAAAAAAAGAAGAAATTATTGCTGGCGATCTTAATCTTGCTGGTTGTTCTTTACGTGAATGACTTAATTCATATCAGAATGGTATCAGTGCGGCTCCAAGGTCTCAACAATCTGAATCTTGGGAGGTCTTTTGATAACTATGCACAAGCTGATCAGAAAGAATCCACTAACACAAATCAATCTCACTGGGGAAATGCTGATCAGAGTTCCTGTTAGAGGAAGAAATGTGCCATGTCTGTGACAAGCCAACATGGCATGTCTGTAACAAGGCAAAAGTCACAGTTGCACTTAAATTATTACTACCAGTTTGACAGATCATATTTTTGTTCACTTTCACCTCAGAATTACAAATAAGATGCCGATTCTGCGTAACATATTATAATCAGACAACTTTTGCAGTTTCCGAATTTTTCCAACGAAGTCAAAGCTTTAGTTACTGACAATGGCTCTTTTTTTTTTTTTTTTGCGAGATACTGAAATCAGCTTTTGTTCAATGACTTCCATATAGCTGCTCTTGATAACAAAAAAGTACTGCCGCTTTTATTATTGGACTTCCTAAGTCATAAATAACGAGGGTACAAATACAGGAAAAAAATGAAGCTTCACATGCTCCCGTTGCAAAACACAAAAAGTCCAAAAAACTCATCCAATACTTCGATAGCCACAAAGGATATATTGAACATAATCAGCAAGCGATTTGCACGGCTAGTCTATTTATGGCAGTAGTATTGCCGCTTCCGCTACTTGCACCTTGTGCACCAAATGTTTCCTTCGTCACTGCCAAACTACAAGTCGGCTTTCCAACGCAGGCTTTTTCCACAACAGACATGCTATTACTTGCATCAGATGAGCCTTTTTTGAAAGACCCACATTCACCTGCTGGGTTTCCAAAGCTAGCAAATTCAACTTTTGACATTTTGCCACCGTCACATGACAGGGTTAAATTGGCACCTTCATATGCATGAGCACAAACAGTTCCCATTGAGACAGTTTGGAATGATATGTTCTGAGGATTCCCACCTATTTCTTCAAACAAAACAATTATGTTGTCTTTATTTTTCAAGTATTGCCTTGGCACATGGTACCATCTCTGTGTTGGCTTACCACAATTGTATGTGCATTTGGTTGATTCGTAGTTTCCTCTATAATCACATGTTTGATTGCATCCATCAGAATCAGCAACATTCAATGGCCAATATCGACCAATTCCTTGACCGTTCACCCAAGCTGCTCCTTTGCCCATGCCTTGTAAGTCCACTACCACAGGGTTGGTTCCAGCAGGAGCATTGAACTTGGCCTTATACCAAGTCATTCCTTTGCCAACAGGAAGACTAGTACTAGAACTAGATTGCCATGACCCTTTATGGAGATGTTGAGCCTCGCCATTCAAGCCGGTTTTGTAAGACCAAGAATTGTTTGTCAAGTCCATAGAGAGGTTGTTCTTGCCAATTAACTTAACTGAACCGCCTGCTAGTCCTGTCGGGACCAAGTCAAACTTGGCACCATAATTTGCAAGCCCCACAGTGACACTGAGTAGAGTTATAATGTTTGGTCCTTGTGTCAAAGTAACAGATTGCTCAAATGTGAAGTTTCCTCCGAATTGACCGAATTGTGATCCAACAAGATTTTTGTTAACATAGGCATGAAGTCCATGGCCCATTGTTAACACTTGAAGTGTTGCGTTTTGCCAAGAGGAAGTGTCGTTGATGTTAACCGCTGTCATGTACCACAAATAGTCACTTGCATCTAGAGTGAAATCTTTCTGCTCAAAAAGTTGGTTTGCTTTAGAAGTTCCCTTGCCACCTAGAGTGTCTTCCATGCTCTCTGCCATCCATTCCCAAGTAAGACGAGAAGATGAAGCATCAGCTTTCTTCACCATCATTGAGGTTTGAGTATTTATCTTTGCCGTATTGTACATCTCTTTACTGCAATTTTCAAGAATGGATACAGACCAAGCAGGAACAAAGTACTGGCCATTGCCATTTTTTAAGTCTACATGTGCATCTTGGCTTTGATCAGTGTTACTCAAGTAGCAAAATTTCCCACCATTAGCGCTGGTGTATGTGGTCAAGTTGACTGAATTGCCAACGTTTGTTTCGGTTCTTGTGGCGTTTGTAATAATCTTCTCTCCTGATTTTATTGCTTCATGAAGTTGCTTCAGATGCCCATATTTTGGTTGATTGAGATTTCCATACTCATCAAGTAGTGCATCATAATCATAACTGGTTGTGATATATGGGCCTCCGGACATTCGTCCAAAGTTTGTTCCTCCATGGAACATGTAGTAATTGTTGAGAACTCCGCCATTTTGGAAAAAGCGAGCCACTCCAAAAGCTGAATCTTCAGTAGTCCTGTGGGGTAATTTTTCACCCCATCTTTGATACCACCCAATCCAATTTTCTGTGAACGCCTTTGGGTTTTTTGGGTTATTGCCATTGGGTTGGAAACTGTCACAATAAAACCCATTACAAGTTTGGATAACAATAGCAGGAGCATCATTCTGCTGGCACATAATCCAAGGAACACCGATGTTCTGTGCTACAGCCATTTGAGCACACCATTTCACATACTCCTTCGCTGGTTCTCCGTAACCTGACATGATGTTCCCATACTCATTCTCAATTTGTGCAAGAATGATGGGTCCTCCTTGTGATGCAAAAAGCTTGGCTTCTTTACACATGTTGACAATTTTGGTGACAAAAGTTTGCATTTCATTCTTCCAAGGTCCATTGTCAGTTCTGATCTGAATCCCAGGAATTTTGTGTAGCCATATTGGGAGGCCACCAAAATTCCATTCAGCACAAACGTAAGGACCAATTCTTAAAATGCCATAGAGCCCATGTTGTTGGACGAGCTGGAAGAATTTGACGAAATTCAAGTTCTTTGTGAAGTCATACTTCCCTTTCATAGGTTCATGATGATCCCAAAACACATAAGTTTCTATGGCATCAAGACCTCCATCTTTGGCCTTTTGAAGAATTTGAGGCCACATTTTCTCCGTGCTTCGTGGGAAGTGAACCGCACCAGAAAAAATGACACGTCTCTCTCCATTGATGATGAAAGCAGTTGGATCATAATCAACCTGTACAGCAGAACACAAGCCAAGCAAGGATAAGCTAAAGAGGACAACCTTACTCCAAGAATCAAAAGAGGAAGCCATATCGTGGGTGATCCTTCAAATTTGTTACACTCTTTGAAGAAAATAATGGAGTATATATATACACTACTGCAACAAAGAAACTTGGACACTAAAATTGGTAAGTTCTTGATACGCGTGTGAATGTGTCAACTTACTTTTTGTAGCAGAAAAAGGTGGACCAACACTTTCGAGTATCCTTCGAATGAATTCAAAATTAGTAGTATTGCTATTTCAAGAGTAGAGTCTTTTCCCCCCCACATCTATGCTATATATGTGCAGTGTTCGCCGCTTTCCTATTATCATGGATCAATGTTTTGTAGACTAAGTCATTAAGAAATGTATGAATTAATTTAATATGACATGATATTTCAAATGATACACACACATCATAGTTTTATTACATCAGGCTTTTTATTACATGAATGAGGATTATTCAGGGTCTGTAAGCATTATTCAGGCTTTTTATAGGTTATATATGTAATTTTATTTTTGTTGTTGTTGCATCATTATCCCTCATGGAACACACACACACACACACACACATATAGCTCAAGAGAGAAGTTCATTAATACACATCCTACACAGACGTACGCAGCACTAGTAATATGAGAAGACAGACCCAAAAAATCAAAATGTAAAGTAACCTTTTCATGTGTATTTTTTTTTGCCAAGCTTTCCATGTATATTCATAGAATATGAGACCTATATTCTGATAAAAATTAATTTATATATATATGGACAAAATATAATAGTGATCCATTAGAAAATGATACTCCTCCAGTCCTTAATATAGGATCTCATTGTTAAGTTGATTTTAATCCTAAATATAAGACCTATTTCTCATATTTATCTTTTTTCCTAACTTACTGCTATGGATACTTCTTCAGCTATAATTAAGTAAAAGAGGAGGAGGATATTGAGAAAGATGATTATGGTGTTTTAGAAAAAATATGTCATATTTCTTATAATTAACTAATTTACCTAAGTTTCTTAATCTAATTAAATTAGTTAAATAGAGCTTATATTAAAGACTAAAAGAGTAATATAACTAACAACAACCAAAAACCCTTTTCCATTGGATGGGGTTAGCTACTTATATAGGTCATCCTACAGCAGTGTGTTTTATAAACAAGATACTACTTTCAATCTTTAATATAAAATTTAGTTGACTTTGGAAAGATTAATGAAGTTAATTGAGTTAGTTATTTATTGTAAATAGACGTTGTTTTTCCTAAAATACTCTTATTAATTATGTGTTTGCATTACCTAGTGATAGTAAATCCTTGATATATATGTGTGTGCGCTTGCGCGTGTGCAACTATTATAAAGATTACTTGAGGGCTAAATAGATAAATAATAGAGACAAAATAGATTGAGATCTTATATTTAGGACCAAATTAAATATCAAATTAACTCTTATAATAATAAGGATAAGAGGTAGTATTATTTAGGTATACTACACACTAGAACGCCCCATTTGATAATTTTTTGGGTATTCTTCTTGATCTTACTCTGCATCTCTTCACCTGACTCAAAATTACTTATTTAACTCTCCTTACCAGCATCTCCATCGGTCTCATTTTATTTTTTTTTTTTTTTTCTGGGTACATGCATTTTCAAATTACTCCCTCCGGTCCTATATATGGAGAGGCATTTGACCCAAAATATAAGCTTTATTTTTGAGTTTGTCTAAACATTTATTACTTTTTTTTTTCCTTATTTTGCCCTTAGTTGACTGTATTTAATACCCCCTCTCTCATTAATATTACCGCATATATTCTCTTTCACCATTTTTTTAATTTATTGTCTCTCTCATTTACTCTCTTAATAAATAAGGACAAATTTGGAAAAAAATACATTTCTATCCTATTTATTATTTTTAACTAATTTTTACTGTTAGTTTGTTAAATGTAATTCGGTTATTTAAAACTTATATACAAGACTGGAGGAAGTACCTTAAACAATTCTTTTAAGAACTTCTCTTCAATTGATACCATATTAATACCTATATATTGTCATCACGAATCTTATCTTTTTTATATGACCAAACGTCTATTTCAATTATCAACATCATCATCTCCACTACTTCAATTTTTTTTTTCTTGTCATACCTTCGGTGCCTAACATTTAATATTGTATATGATTCACATCTAATAGCAATGCAATAAAACTTTTTTTTAAACTTTGTTACGTACTTTTGGATAACAAATAATTATACTGAAAAAGTATGCAGTTGAACTGCAGTGAAATATTTATTGTAGTGAGTTTTAAATTTGATTTAATGCTCCTATACTTTATTACATTTGAATGAAATGCTCTTTATGTAAATCTATGAAATTAATTCAAGTTTAAGAAGAAAGAAAGGAAAAGAGAAAGAGTACGAGATATATATTCGTACTGTTACCGTTCTTGGGCGTTTGTGGACACTTTTTTCCTAAAAGAACAATTTTTTTCCCAAAAAATGGAAAAATTATTTGTAGGAAAAAAAATTACTTCATCGAATTAAAAAAAGAGTACAAATATTCAACTGGATTGACGCACTTTTTTTGCTCTTAAATAAAGTTTTGAACTTTTGCTAAGAGAAACTTGTCATCAAGAAAGTCTTACACTCATGTAGTCCAACATGACTTGATCTAAATTGATTAAGAAATCTGTTGGTATACTTAACAAAAATTCTAAGAAATAGTGATTTTTTTTGTAAAAAAATTTAATCTGAAACAAGCGTGCAGTCCAGCAACTTTATAGGGATGAAGGAGAAAATGTCGCTGATCCACGAGGGTTCTGCTCAAACAAACAATTAGGATACCTTGTTTGTTCATTTTGAGGGTGTCAAAATTCTGTAATTAATAACGTCTTTCATTTTCTTCTTCATCAATCATTTTGTGTATGCATACACAGAGTTTCGGAGACATTTATCTTTCTTCTTTGTCATCCTCATCTTCATCTCCATCATCATCTTGTTATCTAGGAAGATTTTAGGTATAGGCCATCGAATAGTAATATGGATCAGGGCTTTCTGGGCATCCTCAAACTTCGTATTAAAAAAGGAATCAACCTTGCAGTACGTGACAGTCGTGCAAGTGATCCTTACGTTGTTATTACCATGCACGAACAGGTTACAAATCATCACTGTTCAATTATTCCCAATTTTCCATTTGCTTCATGAATTGCCCCTTGTTTGCATTCAAGCACATTTCAATTTGTTTCTGGGCTGAAACAGAACGAAAGAACATGATGAAACTTTGGGTTTTATGAATGTTTCACACTGATGACACAGAAACTGAGGACTAGGGTTGTTGAAGATGACTGCAATCCTGAGTGGAATGATGAACTGACGTTGTATGTGAAAAGAATTGATGCTCCAATCATTATAGTAAGTACGCAAGCAAACAATCTCCGCCAACATGTGCGTGTATGTAAGATCAAGAATCAAAGCATATGTTATTTCTGACGGTTCTTAGTATAAAAAGTAGTTTGATAGCTGAATTTAATACTAAATATAAGATTTCAATTCATTTTATTTCTCTCAAATTTATAATTTTTTTCCTGAAGTATTGGTATTGATTATAAGGGTTCCTATAAGAGCTAGTTTCAACGTAGATACATGTGATCAAAGAAGGTAAATTAGGGAAGTTAATATATATTGCTTCTGGTCCTTAATATAAAAGCTCGTTTGATTTTTATTTTAATTCAAAATATAGTACTCTAATCTACTTTGTCTCTCATATTTATCTTTTTTTTTTCAAAATAGTCCTTATAATAATAGTAGTTCTAGTTAATTCATTTTATTAGCAAGAATATTTTAGGAAAAATAACACTTATTTGTTACAAATAACTAATTTAACTAATTTTTTTAATCTATTCAAATTAGTCATCTAGTTCTTATATTTAGGACCGGAAGTAGTATTTGTTACAAATAACTAATTTAATCAATTACTTTTTCCAAATTAATTATCTCGCTCTTATATTAAGGACTGAAACTAGTATATTGTTCATGGATTATCGCGAGATCATTAATAATTGGTTGTCGTGTGCGTTGCAGACAGTGTTGGACAAAGACACGTTCACGGAGGACGACCCAATGGGGGAGGTAGAGTTAGACATAAAGCCATTGTTGGAGAGTGTGAAGATGACCATGAACACGACCGAAGATCTTGAAGAAGGCTGTGTGGTCAAGGCAGTTCAACCCAGCAGAAATAACTGCCTGTCTGAAGAGAGCTTGTGCAAATGGATCGACGGAAGATTCCGCCAAGAAATGCTTCTCAGATTGAACAAGGTTGAGCGAGGTGAATTACTCGTAGAAATTGAGTGGAATGATCAAGGTTGCCTGGGATTATCAAACGTTGACCTTTAATACACATGCACATAGAGGGTTTCTGTAAATTAGGATTTACAGAAATAGGGAAATCCATCCATCGTCTCCGCTATTTCCTGTCAGAAATCTGAATTTCTACGTTAGTTTGATTCAAAGATTGGAAGAGCAGGTCCATCTATTTTATGATGGTGTTATATATATATACGCTACTTTTTTAAATCACGTTTTCATAGAAATAATAAATTTTTTATTTTCTTCAAACTTTCTTATTTGTAAAATTTTAGTTAACTATCATTCTAATTATATCGCAGCTTATTTTAAAAAAGCAAACTTTACAGGCGATGAGTATATATTAGATGACCATTGCATGTAAATCGAGATTTTGTAGCTAGTAGATATTTTGGTCAGAAGTTTTAAAATGAATTAAAAATATAGGGCTTGTTTGGTTTTTTTTTTTGAAAAATTTTTTTTGTTTTTAAAAACAGAAAAACAAAAAAACTTGTTTAGTAATTTGTTTTTAGTTGATTGTTTTAAAAAACAAAAACGGTACCATGTTTTTAAAACCAAAAAAGCCAAAACAACTTTTAAATGTTTTCTTGTTTTTGTTTTGGTGTTTTTTTATTTTTTATTTTGAAAAATTTTGAGAAATCCTCTTCTCTTTTCACCTACTATCCATCACTTATCATTAGTAATGACAACTATCACCTACCAAATATGATTTTTTTTTAAAACATGATTTTTTTTAAAATTATTATCCAAACAAATTCTTTTTTTTTTTTCAAAACTTGTTCTAAAAAATAATTTTATAAAATTGTTTTAAGAACAAGAAAACAAAGAACAAAAACCAACAGGCCCTATATTTTTTTTTATTTTTTGAAAATTGGTATATATTTTGAAAAACAGAAAAAATATAACTCAATTTCAGCCCCAAAAAGAAGAAAGAAAAATATCCACCAGTGTATATATCAATCCCATTCTAACAAGAAGTAAGGTCAAAATAAAACTCAAAATTCAGTTCCCCTCTCTCACTCTCCCACTTCCCTCTAATGACTAATAATTAATAAATGACAAAACGACCAGAAACACACAAACCTGCAAGAACGTGACCTGAAACAATACGCCTGGTTCATATTTCACTGAAAATATCATACACACCAGCATGGAGACAAAACAGTAACAAAAATCTTGGACCCTAATTTGGAAGCTTCTTTCCAGATATTTTATTCACAAATTTATATATAAGAAAACAGATTTGTATTGTAAGGTTACGGTTTAACGCTTCTGGGTTTGCCTTATCTCCCAAACTATTATTCTTTTCAACGGACATGGCAGCTTCTTCCACAACAGCATCATCAAACTTCTCAACATCTCTGAGAAACTTACACATTCATCCACTGCGCTCCAGACACAGTTTCTCACGACTGTCACTACCTGCGAGAAAACATCATGATCATCAATGCCGATATGATGTAAGAGTGAAGTGTGTGGGGACAGCGAAGTACGATGGGGTGGTGGTCGACGAAGAGATGGACAAGATAAGGAGGCTTCAGAATGGGTCGGACGTGAGAGGGGTGGCGTTGGAGGGAGAGAAAGGGAGGAAGGTTGATCTCACTCCAGCGGCGGCTGAAGCCATAGCAGAGAGCTTTGGAGAGTGGGTCATCAATGGCGTCGTCAAGAAGGAGGAGGAGGAGGGTGATGACGTGAAAAGTGTTGTGAGGGTGTCTCTCGGGCGTGACCCGAGGATTTCCGGGTCGAATTTGAGCGTGGCGGTTTTCTCAGGACTTGCTCGAGCTGGTTGCATGGTGTTTGATATGGGACTGGCTTCCACACCAGCTTGTTTCATGAGCACTGTGTTGCCACCATTTGCTTATGATGCTTCTATTATGGTAAGTTACTGCGCTTATCGTCATTTAAATTTAAATATATATGAAGGCCACACTCATCTTTTCCACTATTTTCTTTGCCAATAAGATCAATTCAAAAAAGACAATGGAGATGATAAACCATTGCCTTCATCATCTAACTTGAGTTGAAATGATATGAAATTTATTGTACATTTTTTTGTCCGATCAATTGTGTGTATGTGTTTTTTTACCACTCTACTGTAATGAAGAAATTAGCTAAACATGTTTATGATTTTAGCTAATTTGGATACTCTTTTACCACAAGACAAGATCAGTGAGTGAGGTGAGAGATATTGAAGGAAAAGGATAGATGTAGAGGACCACACAAGTAAAAATTTATTGAATATTTGATTTTTATTAAATTACAAAAGAAATATATTCAAACTTGAGTATTAAAATGATGTTAAAAAATTGAGAAGACATCTCTTAATACCATAACACTATTTTCAGAGGATCAATCTTAATGTAAAAATATAAAAAAGTATGACTCTGAAAATAATAAAGTTTGGCTTTATTTAAGTGATTTTATATTATATGAGGTAAATATGTGGCAATAATTTTATTCGGGGAAATACAAAAATCTTAAAACAAGTGTTCACTGGGGAAAATGTTTGATATGGAAATTAGTGTGACACGGAACGAGCATTTTTGGTGCAGATGACGGCATCTCACTTACCGTACACTCGGAATGGTCTGAAGTTTTTCACAAAGAAAGGAGGGCTAACGTCTGTTGAGGTAGAGGAAATATGTGATAAAGCAGCTCGAAAATATGCAAACAGGCTTGCAAAAGTCTCTACTTTGCTCAATACTCCTCCTGTAAGAGTAGATTTCATGAGTGCTTATGCTCAGCATCTCAGAGAAATCATCAAGCACAGAGTCAACCATCCTCTTCATTATGATCTTCCCTCCAAGGATTCCAGGTCTTCACTACTTTTCTGCAATAATTGAGTTCTGTATTTTGATTATATTTAGATATATCCATTAGGTTCTTTGTCATGGATCTGCCGTTAAGTTCTGATAATCCTGTGTTCAATTTCGAGTGATCATCATGTCTGATGTTTCTATAAACCTGCACAGATAATAGTAAACGCAGGAAATGGGTCTGGTGGATTCTTCACCTGGGATGTGCTCGACAAGCTCGGTGCTGACACTTTTGGGTCTCTTCATCTCAACCCAGACGGCATGTTCCCCAACCACATTCCTAACCCTGAGGATAAAACCGCCATGGCCGTGACCAGAGCAGCCGTCCTTGAGAACTCTGCCGATCTCGGCGTTGTTTTTGACACTGACGTTGACCGGAGCGGCGTGGTGGACAAGAAAGGAAACCCCATAAATGGTGACAAGCTGATCGCCCTAATGTCCGCCATTGTACTGAGAGAGAATCCAGGATCTACCATAGTCACTGATGCTCGAACCAGCATGGGTCTCACAAGATTTATAACTGATAGAGGTGGACACCATTGTTTGTACCGAGTTGGCTACAGAAATGTGATAGACAAAGGAGTTCATCTTAACAGGGATGGAATTGAAACTCATCTTATGATGGAAACTTCTGGACATGGTGCTTTGAAGGAGAATTATTTTCTGGATGATGGTTAGTTTGAAATATTTATAAATGGTTTTAAAGTTATGGATCATTGTCAGGTGCTGATGTTTCTGTGGTTTTCGTGATGAAGGGGCGTACATGGTTGTGAAGATTATAATTGAAATGGTACGAATGAAACTTGAAGGATCTGACAAAGGGATTGGTAGTCTCATTGAAGATCTTGAAGAACCAAAAGAATCCGTAGAACTAAGGATGAACATCATCTCAGAACCCAGACATGCTAAGACAAAAGGATCTGAAGCCATCGAAACATTTAGAAACTACATTCAGGTACATAAGCACAGACACACTGGAACAGAAAATTCCATGTTTGAAGTGAAATATGATGGAGTTTTCTAGTGCAGGAAGGGAGACTGAAAGGGTGGGAGTTGGATTCTTGTGGGGATTGTTGGGTGAGTGATGGATGCCTCGTAGATACAGACGACACACCTACAGCCATTGATGCTCACATGTACAGGTGATGAGAAAAAACCTCAAAGAAACCTTAATTATGCAACATGTCCTGATTTTGTTTTATATCTTGATCCTCTAAACATAACTTCTATATTAATTATTACCCTCGTATTGGTATTTTAAATTTAAATTCTGCTCAATACTGTAAGGATTGTTTTGTGCCTTGGTAATAGATGAGTTATGTTAAGAAGACTAAAAGATGGTTCTGAGTTTATAACATTTATCCATGAAAACTGATATGTTGGTGGAAACTCAGGGCAAAAGTCTGGGATGCAGAGAGAGGAGAACGTGGCTGGGTTCACATAAGGCAAAGCATACACAACCCAAACATTGCTGTGAATATGCAATCAACTGTAAATGGTGGCTGCTTGTTAATGGCAAGGGACTTCAGAGACAGGTATGCTATTTACTCTTGAATACGTATTTCATCCCTCTAAAAATTTTTACTTTTTGTAGGCTTTTTTTTTTTCAGAGAGATGACTGAGTTAGCTGATTTATGTGATTGAATCATTGCAGATTTCTCAAAGAAAGTGGAGTGGATGCATTTCTTGACATCACCCAAGTTGAAAAGTTTGCTGCAAGTGGGAGTACAGCCTAAGCTTCAATTATCTGTTCTGTTCTACACACAGTGAGAGACTAAGGTTGGACTTAGTGCCAACAAACTCTGGCTATTTAGTGTATTGAAGCAGTTTTCGGGAGTACATAATTTGTGTTTGAATCCAAGTCAATGTCAAACAAAAGAAAGTTGTGCTATCTCGGTTTGATCATAATGTACAGTGAGAAAAATGGAAAGAAAGTATATAAATATAAAGGAGTACATATCATATATAGATCAGCAATTTCTATTGAGTCAGTGTATTTTTGTATTTTAAAGGTTCTATATCACAGTTGCAGCAGGTAAGTCCTCTGTTTCTCCCCTTTTAAATAATATTCATTATTAACACTTGGTTTTCCATGAGAGAAGGAAATTTCTGCAAAATACTAATAGAAGCCTTAAAGGGAAGGAACAGAATACATTGGCATCTATGCAGGAAAGAGAGAAAAAACTTGACCATGGAGATTCTCGTGCTCTTAAATTGTTAATACACTACAATACAATACTGATACTGAAAGTTGAAACACCGTCAGACTTTTTAGAAGTCTCTCTGTTTTCTCTATGATATTTGTAATTGTGATAAATCTGCTAGAAAAATTGTTATGGATTTTGATAACAGCAAAGTGTTGAATGTTTTGATGTGCCTACATAAGTAAACACCCAACGTATTCTTTTAATTAGATAATCAAACCTTCTCCCCACAAATATTGCATCAGATATGTTTTAATTATCAACAATCTCATCAATCAGACGAAGAAAATTTAATTGATCAACCATCTCATTCCAAATATATGAGTTCCCAAAGTGAGCTCAAGACTAAGATTTGCCATTACAAATGTTGCAACATTCACTCCTCTTGGAACCCTTTCGATCTAATTGTTTGCGTCTAATCGCATGAAAGAACACACACGTGATACCGTCTCTTGCAAAGAAATGAGGTTTAAAATCTACAAAGGTCAAAATATGCAGGCTGCGAAAGAATTGAGTCAAATCTAATTCTTGACTTCTGATAACAATTGTTGTCACTTTCAATTCACATGGTTTAAGGACTAGGCTTGTAATTGGAGCTGTTATCACTGACAGCCTCTTCAGGAACAAACTTTGCCCAAAACCAATGTGAGCTCCAAACTCTGTTCATTTCTTCAATAGGCACATTCTTTGTCTCTGGGAGGAGCAGAGCAACAAAAATGGTCATCATGGCCAGAAAGCCAGCAAAGAAGAAGAAGAGACCGAACTTCAAGTAGCAAAGCATCGGAAGAAACACTTGAGCTACGCCAAAAGTGAATAACATGTTCACTGCAACGTTAATAGATTGTCCCGCAGATCGAACCTCCAGAGGACATATCTCACTCGGCACCAACCAACTTAATGGTCCCCAAGACCAAGCAAACGCCGCAACGAACAAACATATGAACAGCAGAAGCAGGTCAGCTTCACTTTTGCTGAATGAACCTTCACCCTTAACTCCAAACTTCAAAGCTATCAGGGTCCCCACAGCAACCTAAAAGAGAATAAATAACATCAGTAACATGTAAGTATATAACTAATTAATTCATGAGATATTGTACGTAAGAGAGACTTGGGGGTGGGTGGGTTGTGTATGTCTGTGTGTATATATATATGATACCTGACAAAGAAGCATTTGAGTGCCACCTTCAAGGAACAAAATCCTTCTTCCAAACTTGTCCACAGATAAGATAGAGACCATGGTGGCCATGACATTGACGGCACCGGTAATGACGGAGGACATGAGAGAAGCATCGTCGCCGAAACCGAGAGTCTCAAAAAGGACAGGAGCGTAAAACATGATGACGTTGATGCCCGTGAGTTGTTGGAAGAAGGGAATGAAAGAACATAGAGTTAGCTGAGGCCTATATTTAGGTTGCGTGATGTTTCTCCAAGGGTGTGCCACCTGCCTGGCTACTTCGATCACGTCGATGAGATCTTGAAACTCGTCGTCCACATCTTGCGTTCCGCGAATCTTCTGCAATATTATCTTCGCTCGACCATATTCTCCTCTTTCAATCATGGAGTTTGGCGTGTCACCCAAGAAAAGAGATGCTATGCACAGCAAAAGAGCTGGAACTGCTCCTATGCCTAAAGAATATCTCCATCCATTTTCATGCACAGCAGTTAAATAGTTGATCAGGTTTGCAAACAAAATACCGATGGTTATCATCATCTGGAATCCCATATTTAACGCCCCTCTGATATTTGGTGGAGCCATTTCAGATAGGTACACCGGAACAGACTGTTGACACAGAGAAAAAATCTTAAGGCAACTATATATATTTATGAACTCGATCCTTCAGAGAAATAATATCCCAAAGGGTTATACTTACTTGATTACAATAGCCCACACCAAAACCAAGTAAGAGACGACCAGTGATGAGCATGGCAACATTTATGGCAAAACCATTCAACAAGGCACCCACAAGGAAGAACAAGCCTCCAAGAAACATGGAGGTTTTACGACCCAGAATTCTTGTGGTGTTAGAGGCAAAGAGAGAGGCAACCAAAGCTGCGAGGTATAGAGATGAGGTGAACAACGTTAGGAGCTCATTATTGAATTTGCAGTAGGCTCCGTTTTTATGGCCTTTTTCAAGCTTCATTTGTTTGTACACGGAAGGAAAGAACTTGATCAAAAATGGGTCCATAGAAGTTACGCCTCCTGTGATCCCAAGGTCGTAACCAAAGAGAAGACCTCCCATGGCAGCCACGAAACAAGAGAACAGTACGTAGGTTGTCACTTTGACCTCATGTTCCCTTGATCTGCCTTGATGAACAAGACCTCCTCCGGCCATCTTTCCAATATTTAAGGTAGGATGTTGTTTTTCACCTCTTTAGATCTTCTCGCCTTTGTATCTACACACCATATGCTTCCCGTCGTAACTTTGTGATGGGTTATATAGATTTTGAGACGATGACAACTATGAACAGTTTGAGTAAGTTTTCACATCAAACATTGTGCTTTTTGAGGTCTGTCATACAAACACAAATATTCCCAATGTCCTAAATTTGGAAACTATTTTGTCCCATTTTGTTGTCAAAGTACTGTCACATGGATTTATCTTATAAAAGATCTTGTCCTTTGACTAGTTGTTTCCTATTTATTTTTGGGAATGTATGACTTTTCCTAATTATTTAAATAACAAATTTTTTCAACCATATTCCAACAAACTAATAGTAATGAGGTGTAAGTGCTGGCTCTTCAACAGAGGACAACAACCTTAATTCCCTATTAGACTTAATAATTTGATTCCCGCCCCAACAACCACAAGAATCTCCAACTAAAAACCATCTTAATTTCTACAATACAACTTCCGTCTTTTTTTCCCCCTAATTTTTTTCTAAAAATTTTGGCTTCACATTCCCTACTTCTTTTCAGATACAAAAATCAAAAATAAAATAAAAATATAAAATTGAAACTGTTTGAAGAGGCTCCACTATCGCTCCTTCGCACGTATTTATGCTCTCAAAGGGGGGGGGGCTAAGAAAGTCATCGTTTCCTATTGCCATTTACATTATTTTCTACTACCATTTAGAAACAGAAGATAAACAAATGAAAAATTCAAATGATTTTAAAAAGCCACGCAGAATATTTCATTAACGTACTTGTGTTAAGAACCAAAAAAAATTGAAGAAATTTGACAAAAATGAAAAATAAAATTTGAACTTCCTTAAAATATTGAAAGATTTCTTGTCTGGGACAAAAAAAATTATAATTATTTTTTTAAATATGAAAAGCACGATTGAACCAACATAAATTAAATTAACTTAAATAAAAATTAATTGATATTAGATATAATATTACCATAATATGAGTATTGGATACATTAATTATTTATTCAATAAAAACTGAAAATAAAGTAAAATTACGAATAATTTTTTTATATATAAAATGCATAACAATTTTTTTGAATTATGGAAATTAACAATGCTCTCAATTTTTAATCATTAATATTATTAAAACAAAGAATCTCTACTTGTTTGGGAAATTATAAGAAGGTTTTTTTTACGCAATTAAAACTAATTAAATTAATACATTTATAACCAATAAAATTACGTTAGTACACTACTAATTTTTGGAGTAATAAAATTAATATTATTTTAAGTTTTGCTTGATTAAGATAATCACAGCAAACAGGGCATGTGTTTCAGACCAAAAAATTCAGGCTGCACGAAGCTAAACGGGCACGAAAATTTAGAACTTCGGTGCAAAAATTACTAACAATAGATATTTGCATGTGCCGCATTTTTTTGGGTCAAAAGATACGCCGCATTTATTGTTTTGTAAATGATAAGTATCAATTCAAATCCAAGCCATTTCCTTTTGTTTCCAATCCTTTCCTTCTTTTCTGTTTGATGTACACACACGTACGTAGCGTTCAATTTTAATTAAAGGAACTTAAAAAGCATATATGGTGCTTTCTTTCCTTGAAGGAAAGAAGAGAATAGGGGACTAAGAAATGGATCGTGATTCTCTTTGGGAGCACATTCCATACTCATCACAATGATAAGTATAGAGTGCTCAGTACAATTTGGACCATCTAGATTGATTTTGAATGGATTAGATTCGATTTAAATCTTTTATATATTTTAATTAATTTTTTTGTTTTAATAGATACACAATTTAAAATAAAAATAATTTTATAAGTAACACTTCTTTAAAAAAATAAAGTTATTATTAAAAAAATTTCACATTAAAAATTTTAAATCTAAACTACTCATATCAGATTTTGGATGATCTAGATTGTATTAGAGTGATGAGCAGTCAACGAGTACCTTGTACATACAATGTGCGAAGAGATAATGAAGGGTAAGCGAACTGCAAAAGAAGTAACAAGCCATTGCCCCCGCATAGGTTCACATGGATCGAGCAAAGCAACAACTGATAAGCGCAATTACCCTGTTTCTTTCGATGAATGTGTATTTTAATTTCTCAAACGGCAAGAATTGGCAATTACAGTGATAACGAGAGAGAGGTACAAGATTTAGATGAGTATTTGTGTACAAGGCTATATCTGCGGAAACAACTGGTCTGCTGCAAAATTACGAATTAATGACTCTTCAACAGACGAAACACCTCTTCATGTGGCTGCAAGGTTTTGGAACGTGCTCATAATAGATGATTTGGTGAGATTAGTTCCACCAAGCGTACAATATCTGCTTATGGCCATATACAGCCCAAGTGGGATCATCCAATTCAAATTGCAAAATGTTTGGTGGATAAAAATGTTTGCTAATCTTCGAACAAGCTAATGGCTATGCGGCTCCTTCGTTCCTCAAAACCTGTTTGTTCACTACCGATATTGTCGCCACTCTCAATTCATCTCCCATGGCCTAAGGGCTGGGCTTGCAATTGGAGCTGCTATGATCACTGACAGCCTCTTGAGGAACAAACTTTGTCCAGAACCAGTGTGAGTTCCACACACTGTTCATTTCTTCAATGGGCACATTCTTTGTCTCTGGGAGGAGCAGAGCAACAAAAATGGTCATCATGACCAGAAAGCCAGCAAAGAAGAAGAAGAGACCGAACTTTAAGTAGCAAAGCATAGGAAGAAACACTTGAGCTATGCCAAAAGTGAATAACATGTTCACTGCAACGTTAATAGATTGTCCCGCAGATCGAACCTCCAGAGGACATATTTCACTTGGCACCAACCAACTTAATGGTCCCCAAGACCAGGCAAACGCTGCAACGAACAAACATATAAACAGCAGAAGCAGGTCAGCTTCACTTTTGCTGAATGAGCCTTCACCCTTAACTCCAAATTTCAAAGCTATCAGGGTCCCCACAGCAACCTAAAAGAGAATAAATAACAGTAACGCGTAAGTAATTAACTTACTCATCATAAGATATTGTACGTAAGAGAAGAAAGACTTGGATGTATATGCATATATATGCATATGATACCTGGCAAAGAAGCATTTGAGTGCCGCCTTCAAGGAACAAAATCCTTCTTCCAAACTTGTCCACTGATAAAATAGAGACCATTGTGGCCATGACATTGACGGCTACGGCGATGACGGCGGACATGAGAGAAGCATCGTCGCCGAAGCCAAGAGTCTGGAAAAGGACAGGAGCGTAAAACATGATGACGTTGATGCCCGTGAGTTGTTGGAAGAAGGGAATGAAAGAACATAGAGTTAGCTGAGGCCTATATTTAGGTTGCGTGATGTTTGTCCAAGGGTGTGCCACCTGCCTGGCTACTTCGATCACGTCGATGAGATCTTGAAACTCGTCGTCCACATCTTGGGTTCCGCGAATCTTCTGCAATATTATCTTAGCTCGACCATATTCTCCTCTTTCAATCATGGAGTTTGGCGTATCACCCAAGAAAAGAGATGCTATACACAGCAAAAGAGCTGGAACTGCTCCCATACCTAAAGAATATCTCCATCCATTTTCATGCACAGCAGTTAAATAGTTGATCAGGTTCGCAAATAAAATACCGATGGTTATCATCATCTGGAATCCCATATTTAACGCCCCTCTGATATTTGGTGGAGCCATTTCTGATAGGTATACCGGAACAGACTATTGACAGAAAGAGAGAAAACTTGAGTTGGCTCGGGCAATTTTATGCATATTTGTGAAATCAATCTTTTAGGAAAAATAATAATCTCACTGTGAGTTGCTTACTTGATTACAGTAACCCACACCAAAGCCAAGTAAGAGGCGGCCAATGATGAGCATGGCTACATTTACTGCAAAACCATTGAACAAGGCACCCACAAGGAAGAACAAGCCTCCAAGAAACATGGAGGTTTTACGACCAAGAATTCTTGTGGTGTTAGAGGCAGAGAGAGAGGCTACCAAAGCTGCGAGGTATAGAGATGAGGTGAACAACGTTAGGAGCTCATTATTGAATCTGCAGTAGGGTCCGTTTTCATGGCCCTTTTCAAGCTTCATTTGTTTGTATACAGAAGGGAAGAACTTGATCAAGAACGGGTCCATAGAAGCTACGCCTCCTGTAATCCCAAGGTCGTAACCAAAGAGAAGACCTCCCATGGCGGCCACGAAACAAGAGAACAACACGTAGGTTGTCACTTTGACCTCATATTGCCTTATTCTACCTTGATGAACCAAACCTCCTCCAGCCATGGCTCGAATATTTTAACGTAGGATGTTGTTTTTCACCTCTTTAGATCCTTTTGCCTTTGTATCTGCACATCATACTGCACGTAATGGGTTATATAGGTTTTGATCATGAAAAGTTTGAGTAGGTTTTGACAGCAACATTGTGCTTTTTGAAGTCTGTCATACAATCACAAGTATTCACAATGTCCTAGATTTGGAATCCTTTTTGCCCGATTTTGTAATTAAAATACTGTCACCTTGATATATTTTATAAAAAATCTTGTCCTTTGACTAGTTCTTTTCTATTTTTTTCCGAATGTATGACTTTTCCAAATTATTTAAGCCAAATTCCAACAAAAGTAGTGACGTTCAAGTGCTGGCTGCTCAACAGATTAGACTTTAATTTGATTCCCAACAACAACCCCGGTAATTTCTTTCTTATTTATTTTTGATACAATCCAACTTCCATCTGTTTTTTTTTTAATTTTTTTTTAGTTTTGGCTGCGAATTTCCTAGTACTATTAGAATATAATAATAAAACACGATTAAAAATAAGAAATAATTGAAATAATGTGAAAAAGATCCATTATCTATCATCGTACTCGTCTAAAAAAAATCATCGCTGGTTTTCTATTTCCATTTACAGGATTTTCTACCACCATCCGGAAACAAAAATAAAAAAATTAAATAAGAAATTCCAAATAATATGAAAAGGAAGAAGGATCTTTCATTCACGTACTTGTGTTAAGAAACAAAAATTCTTTATGACAAAATTTGAAGCAATTTGACAAAACCGGCAAATATTGATTAGATCCAGTTTCACCTAACTATTTCACGTTGTTACTTGTTAAAGGGAGAAAAGAAATTTTGAACTTGCTTAAACATTGAAAGATTTCTTTTATATGGGGCTAAAAACAACTATAAATATTGATTTTTAAACATCAAAAGCACGATTTGAACCAACGTATAAATTAAATAAACTAAAATAAAAATTGATTTATATTAAATATAATATCACTGGAATATGATCATTTGATGCATTAATCGTTTACCGTAAAAACTGAAAATAAAATGAAGTTACCAATTTTTCTTGAAAATATAAAAATGCGTAAAAAAAATTTCTTAAAATATAGAAATTAACAGTTCTCTTAATTTTTAATCATTTATAGTTTTATTTTAAAAAATTATTCGAAAATAAAAGTGATTATATAGAATTTTTAATACCCTTTCATCTAAAATATGCGTTAACACGTAGATTGGTCCACATCAAGCATTCCCCATTTCATAAACACGTTTGCCTTTTGTTTCCATTTCTTGCTTCTTGTCTGCTTCAGATCTATTCCGTTCAATTTAATTAAAGGAACTTAAAAAGCATATGGTGTAAAATTAAAGTAACTTAGAGCATCTGATTTGAGTTGGGGTAGAAACTAATTAAAGTTTGATTTGAATCCTAAATAACATATATGATTTCAATCGATTTGTCATATTTATTAGTATTCTTCTGAATAAATTATTATTTTTTTAAAACTACCTTTATTGATTGTACACTCACCCATCAACAGTATTATTAATAATTAAATTCTAATAGATACAGGACATTTGCTATACATGAGTATTTTAGGAAAATTATGTCAATTTGTAATCATTAATTAATCTATCTAATTTTCTTAGTATATTCAAATTAGTAGTTATACAAGTAACTTTTACATAAAAAACTTAATGAAATATTCTCCTTAGTTTTCAATGTAAGACTCATTTTGTAGTATAAATTGCACTATAAGGTAGGTCTTATATTAAACACTGAAAGATTATTATATATTTTAAACCATATTAACATGAGTGTAAGAAATAATACGACAACGGCTATAAATATACAATGCGTCTAAAGTAAGCGAACTGTGAGCCAACCGCAAAAGAAGATGCCCTATGATATTTACGACAATTGAGTTGTTCCCCTGCAGGACGAGGTTTTTTCTTTTCCGAATGTGTTTTTTTAAAAGAAAAGGTCAAGTTTGTTTTCTTTTTCTTTTTCTTTTTGTTTTTTTCTTTTCGGTAACATATCACGATCCTTTTCTTGGTACCTATTAATATCTGAAACCATACGAACACGTAAGGAATAAACGAAAAGTTAGCCTATAAATATAGAATGTGTGAAGAGCTAGTGAAGTGTGAGAGCGAGCTGAAAACCAAGAAGTAACAAGCCACTGCTGCCCAGGTAAGCGCAAGCAGTCTTTGTTTCTTTAGCTGAAATGCATATTTTAAATTTCTCAAACTGCAAGAGTTGGAGATTACAGTGATGAGAAGAGAAAGGTGCAAGATTTAGATATGAGTGTTGTGTTACTTTAAGTGATGCCTAATTAAAAATAATTGTGTTGGACAAGGGCACATATTCAGTCTGATTTGCACAAATCCAAACAGACACAAACAATCAAACGTGATGTATAAGTTTAGAACTTTGGCGCAAAAATTACTAAAAACAAGATTTGCATAACAAGATGGGGAAAATTCTGTAAAAGAAAATTCCTATAAAAAGCATATGGTGCTTTCATTCCTCCAGGGAAAGAATAGACTCGATTCCCCAATTATATAATACTCTCTTGCGTAAAAACGAGTTAAAGCGGCTGGTTTTAGTTTTAAATGCTCTCATCTAAGGTGTAGAAGCTAATTAAGTAAAGATTGATTTTAATCCTAAATATATGATTTTAAACTTTATTTCTCATTTTTTCTCAAACTACTTTAATTGATTAATATTCGGTCATCGCCATTATTACCAATCAAATTCAAATAGATACAAGACATTTGCTATACATGTATATTTTAAAAAGAATCATGTCAATTTGTAATCATTAATTAATTTATCTAATTTTCTTAGTATATTCAAATTATTAGTTAAGTAGCTTTTACATTGAAAATTTAATGGATAGTATTAAATAATTTAAACCATAAGAAATGATACGACAATGGCTATAAATATACAATGCGTCAGGAGTAAGTGAACTATGAAACAACTGCAAAAGAAGATACCATATGATACCTAAGGCAATCAAGTTGTTCCCTTACAGCACTATCTTTTTTTAATGTGTACGTGCTTTTTTAGTTTTTTAAAGGAAAAGTCAAGTTTGCTTCTTTTTCTTTTTTCTTTCTTTTTCTTTTTGTAACATATCTTAAACCAAACGAACACGTAAGGAATAAACGAAAAGGCTATAAATATATAGAATGTGCGAAGATTCCGTGAAGTGAGAGAGCGAGCTGGAAAAGAAGAAGTAACAAGCCATTGCCATCACAAATTCACATCGAGGAAGAAACAATTAAGCGCAATTAATCTCTGTTTATTTCGCTGAAAAGTGTATTTTAATCTCACATCACAAACTGAAAGAATTGATGATTACATACAGGATTATACACTATACTGTATTAATTCGGTTAATTTTTAAAATGAAACTAAAGCAACTAACAGTTTGTTCTTCAATATCAAACGCATGATTGAACCAACGTATAAATTAAATAAACTGAAATAAAAATTAATTTATATTAAATGCATATAATATTACCAGAATACGAATATTTGATACATTAATCTCGTTTACTGAATAAAAATTGAAAATAAAATGAAGTTACCAATACTTTTTTGATAATATAAAAAATGCAACAGTCCTCTTAATTTTTTAATCATTTATAGTATTATTCAAAAGTAAAAGTGATTATAAGTAATTTTTAATACCCTTTCAGCTAAACAAAATACGAATACCTATTAACGGTTGAAATAATTACAGCAAACAAGGGAATATATATATTCAGTTTGAGCAAATCTAAACAGTCAAACATTGGCATATGATTTTTTAGAATTTTGGTGCAAAAATTGCTAAAACATAAGATTGTTTCACGTCAAGCATTCCCCATTTCATAAACACGTTTGCCTTTTGTTTCCATTCCTTGCTTCTTGTCTGCTTCAGATATATCTATTCCATTCAATTTGAAGGATCCTAAAAAGCTAATGGCGCTTTTGTTCCTTCAGGTAATAGTTAAGTAGCTTTTACATTAAGAACTTAATAAAATAGTATTAAATATTTTAAATTAAACCATATGAACATGCATGTAAGAAATAATACAACAGTGGCTATAAATATACAATGCGTCAGGAGTAAGTGAACTGTGAGCACCAACAAAAGAAGATATTATATGGTACTTGTGACAATTGAGTCGTTCCCCTTCAGCACTATTTTTTTTTTTTTTTAATGTGTGTTTTTAGAAAGAAAAGGTCAAGTTTGCTTTCTTTTTCTTTTTCTTTTTTTCTTTTTGGTAACATATCACAATCCTTTTCTTGGTCCCCTGTGATATATATTAACACGTAAGGAATAAAAAGGAAGGCCTATAAATATAGAATGTGTGAAGAGTTAGTGAAGTGTTAGAGCGAGCTGAAAAACAAGAAGCAACAAGCCGTTGCCACCTTTGGTAAGCTCAATCAATCTCTTAAACCGCAAGAATTAGTGAGATTACAGTGATGAGGAGCAAGAGGTATTACAATATTTAGATATGGGCATTGTGTTCAAGGCTATATATTAGTATTTGTTTAGACGTAGCGCACTTAATGATTATTCAATATCGTACGTTCAGATATAAAATGGTGACGTTAAAGAAGATAACAAAATAAAACTATTTGCATTTAAAAATAAATTTATCAATATAATTCCACTTTGATTATGAGTACTTACTTCACAGCCTGGATTATCCCAAATAGACGGATTATTATGTGGTCGAGTATTATTATTCTGAATGTCAGATTAATGTTTGCTTCTTCCTTTTTTGGCCACAGATTAGTGCTTACTACTTCACAGGAGGGAAGGTGTATATAGCCAAGTTCAACTGGTATGTAGTGTGTATGATTGATCTCTGTTCCTTTCAACTGAAAATAGTTGTAGTCATGAAGAAATATTGGCCATTAATTGGTAGAAATATTATTACATTAGAGTATCATCACCATGGATCTGCAGAAACAGCTTTAATTGAGTTATGGAAGCGAGGCG